TAATCCTTCCCTTCCCCAATCCCAAAATCTCCTATTCCCTAATCCCTAAAAGATCGGCAACGTACTTGTTACTCTTCTGTTGTTGCGGGTGTCCATGGGCAGCGCTAATTGCTTTTCTTCAGGTAATACGTGTGCTCTTTTGTCGTTCTATAGCATAAAAAAACAGTTTAATCTTAATACAACGGCCTACAACCTGATGTTTATACAAAATATTTTTACTAAAGTACTCTTTAACGCAAATATTACTATATCTGGAATAACAAATTGGATTCTTTTTGAAAATGTTATTGCAGAGAACGCAGGTAAAGTGACGTGTGATAGAAGCTAGTCAGCCACAATAAAATGTGTTGTAGAGACGTGTAGGTTATCTTTTCACAATGTCATTATTGCACTTAGATAAAAATTCCACGATTCGCATATATTTAGGTTTTAAAATATAGCGCAGCGTAGCGCCAATGTCAGCGGTCAAATCAGTTCTCGTTATTATTATTTCTTTAGGTTTTAGTTATCTAAAGTATTATCACTATATTATTCTTTTTAAGAAATAAAACTAGCAAGGTGTGTTATGTGTCATCTTATTGCTTACGTCATAAAATAATCACGCGTTTTGTTCCCCGAAGGAATTGGTGAAGGCAGTGTAGTTGGAGTCTGGATAATCTAGTCTTTAGGATTATCTGATTGCAAACAATCGGTGGCCCCAGCGATCTTCCACTCTACTAAAGGAGTGTGATGCCTGACCACCACACTTACCAACTGTGTGAAAGCCATGCTCCGCTCCAAGAATGGGTCGGCTCGATCGAAGTGATATATAGTGTGAGTGGGGTTACCGGACCCATTCCTTAAAAGCCCTAATCGTAAATACCTAATAACCCACAACAGTTCGGCAATGCTCAATGCCAACGTGTATGTGGCGTCGCACAATGGCGTCGAGACCATAAATCGGTCTTAGTGCACACAGGGCCGGTTTGACCTTCGTTGTTTTCTGTGCAGCAGTCACGTAGTATCACTCTGATTAAGTGTACTCATTTGACCAAAGCCTGACTCGCCCATACCTACTCAAAGCGAACCCACTTATTTAATAATAAACTTTAGTTCAAATCTATAAGGTCTCTATTTATTATTATTACATATAAAGCACAATTTTAGACTATCGGAGGACATTCAAAATAAACAACAACCGTCCTTTTAGTGACTTCTCCTTTACCAGTTGCATAAAGGTCACAGCTCACTAAAGCCACCCTGCACCCACTCCGCACTAACAACCGTCATGCGGCAAATATCCATTATATTTATGTATGGGCATAGGCTCACTGCATCAATTCCGTAGCGTCACCAGATCGCCATGGTTCTAAGCCCTTCACGAGCGGACGGCGAGTGGACCTCGCGCTGCTCTAGTGACATTAAGAGACTACTTGATGTGAACCAAGCGCCGCTAAGCCGAGTTTACTCGTTGACCGCGTGGGGTCCACCGGTTGACCACAGGACGTTTTTGGTGATATGTAGTACAAATCTACCAATAGCCAACGAGAGGACGTCGTGCGTAGAGTTGGTGCAGGGTGGGTACCAGGTGGCTCTAATGAGCTGTAACCTTAGACTGACCAACAGGCGACGCAGTGACCAAACGATTAATGATTCCAGTTATGTCATTAGTTTTAAACAAAAAGTGGGCTCGTTGCGTCGATGAACGTAAAAGAAATTTGAAATTACTTAAATACCTATTAGTACATTTAACGATAAGAAAAATGCACGAAGCATATCATGTCTTCAAAACAGAACTATGTTAATATCTATTATATTAGATTACATCGTGAGCGCAGCGACTTTTCGAAGGTCGTCCGGACTTTAGTTATGAGTAGATAGAATTCAAATAATATTTCATTTGTGGAACACGTATCGCAAAGAGTGTTTGTGTCATCATAGGAAAAAAAGTGCATTGTGTTTTGTTTTTATTGCAAAATGAAATAGTGTGGTGTTGTCTTGATTTTATCCTCGGGATTGAGGTTTGTACAGAGCTTTTAAACGTTTTAGGTATGCGGTTCATAAAAAAATATTTATTATAATTGTGAAATTATTTTCACATTAGGTATAAAGGCAATTTTATTGTTGTTACTGCTTTTAAATTAAGTATTAGGCAATATAATCAAATAAATAGAAATAAAAACTCGCCAAACTAAATGAACAAAAAGGATAACACTTTTGTCCCCGACTGTCCTAAGCCCGTACAACTTGCTCAATTGATGCGGCCAGTATTATTGGCTTTATACACTGGACACTGTCCATGCAGTGTTCTATTTTCAAAATTAGAATACAATGTTTGTCTATGGAATTAAATAAAAGAAAAGAAACAAAAGAGTATTTAAAACAGTGAAATTAAAAAAGTTGTTTTGTTAAATAGTGGTTTAATTAGTTGATCGTTAGGAAATGAAGCCATAGTAAAGTTTGAAGTGTTTTTTTAATCTATATTTCAAGTGATTTGGTTACTAAGTGTTTCAAGTGCTACCGCAATAATTACCTAATAATTAATAATAAAATTGAGTGTGAAAAACGCTGAATATATTTAAGGCAAGGTTTGGAAACTACCTTTTTCTATATTTGTGACAAATTAACGTGTTATTCCAAGATTCATAACCATATGTTATTTATAAGAAGGCATGCTACCTTAACCCGTGGCGTACCGGTATTGCCAGTCACATTTTTTTAATGTGATAGGTCGGCAAACGAGTGGACGTATTACCTGATAGTAAGCAATCAGCGCCGCCCATGGACACTCGCAACAGCAGAGGGGTTACGAGTGCGTTGCCGGCTTTTTGGGGATAAGGGCTTCGGAGATGAAGAAGAGATGAGAGAAATGGAAGGATTGGGTCTCCGTTAAACTTACATGGTTGTTTCACGCCAATTTTCTGTGTGGCCGTGGTGTCACTCCGGTTGAGCCGACCCATTCGTGTCTAAGCTTGGATCTTCCACACTTATGTAGTTATATAGATAAATGTATTTTGCTATTGAGTATCATTTAATACCTACCGGCAGCCGAATAGTTAAGGGATCATTATTACTAAATTGTTATGCTCTTAAAGGGCTCAAAGAGGTGAAACGTCAGAGGTGCCTTTAGGTATAAGCGGAAGTTTATATATAATAATATCGCAATAATATCGGTCGCAATTTTTTAGTCTTTTGATAATTATAGGTGCTTACTGAAAATCTAGGCGACTTTGGGAAGCCAACCTGAGAATTCATACAGACTATGCAGTTCTTTTTAAGTACCTATCTTAAAATTCGTACCTATAACTTTTTATTAGTTAAGGTACAAGTAACACAAACTCGAAGATCCTTGACGTCTCCTTAAGCCTAGAACTTCTTCTAGCCAGGGCTGCAGGTTTTTTGGGGGAGGGAGGGGTGGCCATCAAATGCCTTCTCTCAACCCGGGGTGAGGCGAGAGGGAGTTTCAGACTCTTACTGACTAAAATCCATCCTGGGCCTTCTCCTGCTCTAGGTCGAGGCCACGGTACCTTGTAGTTGTAACGCTTGACCCGTAACCTCGGGTGCAATAATGGAGTAAAGGAGCGGGGGTGAAAAAAAGCCTCTAGGACTACAGCAAATCCAGTTCAAACTAGATTTAACTGCACCAGTAACTTGCCCACGGAGTTCAGATATAAATCTAATGAAGACCAGTAATGTATAAAACTAATAATACATACCTCATCAATGAAAACTGGTTACAATATATTATTACTATAGAAATTAAAAAATAGCATGCTTAGTTTAAGGTCATGTCTTGTTATTTTAACCATTACCGATTTGTTAGTAGATTTGTACGGTTCTCCTATTAATTAAAAGTGACCTATGCATTAATACGGATAAAAAACTTGCTAGATTTTCATCTCTTATCTGACTCACCTATATTTTGTTAAGTGTTTAGGGCTTTGAGCTAACAGTGTACCGAGGCCCCGGGTAGCATAAGACTTAGTAAGTACGGGTTGGTTTCTAGTCATTTTACGTAAGTCTGGTAGATCCTATAGCCCCGCAAACGGCGGAAGGAGATATTTTGGCAATCCTTTCGAAAAGGGATAAAAAGATGGGGAGGGGCGGACTTAAATCTCCCTGATTTTTAACCGACTTCAAAAAAGGAGGAGGTTCTCAATTCGACGAGTATTTATTTTTTTTTTTTAATGATAAGGTCACCGTCCAACATTGGGGAGCACAAAATTTAACTATCATTTCGCTTTGAGTTTTTTTATAAAAAAGGGTAACGAGTGAAACACCTTTTTTGGTGGGGATTGCGGATACGGAGGTGGAAAATCATCAAATTAATAACTTCCCTTGGTAGGGCGAAAACGAGTGTTTTCACTCTTACTGTCTGTACATCCTTCTTTCTCCTGCTCCGGGCTGGGACCGCAGTACATTAATTTCCATCCGTAATGCAACATCATTAACAGCAAGAAGACCTCCACTACTGAACAAATGACCCAGTCTCATCTTCAATCCCTAAAAGAGTGTACTCCTAAGCGCGGGAGAGTCATGCTTTGACACGAATGGGTCGGCTCGACCGGAGTGATACCACGGCCCCACAGAACGTGAAACAACCACAGCGTTGTGTTTTGCCGTGTGAGTGAGGTTTCCGGAAGCCCAATCCTTCCCCTCTCCCAATCCCTAAATCTCCAAATCCCTAATCCCCAAAAGGTGGGCAATGCACTCATAACTCCTCTGTTGCTGGTGTCCATGGGCGGCGCAGATTGCTTACCATCAGGTAATCCGTCTGCTCGTGTGCCGATCTGTTACATAAAAAAACTCCTTTTTAATTCGACACAATAGAAGAACAATATGTGCTCGAACGCCGGCGTTGGCCTAGGGTTTAGTACAATAAAAGGCAACCAACCTTTCTATAGCTTCTTTAATGTCGATTGGCGATAATAATCGCTAACCAAAAGGCGATCTGTCTGCTAATTCTGCCATCTATCGTATAATAATGAGATTTTCTTTTTGATTTCAGTTAAAAAAGCACAATGAAGTGGCCGAGTTTTTTGGACAATATACCAGGTCTTGGATATAGCAAGCCCACTACACTAGTGATGAGACATGAGGACTACACGGTGGGAGAAACGACTGGAGGACTCAGTGTCCTGTTCACTATACTGTGTATAGTGGACCTTTTTGGAGTGTTCCCTGTGATAACTCTGCCTAAAAGTGTCATTTCTTGTGGTAAGTGTAGTATTCTCTGATGTATTATATTTGGCTCGCCAACGTACTACCAAGTGCTACCAGTTCAACCGTCTAACACCGACTGCCCAGTCCACCGGATGCCAGTTGTGACGTATACGCTCGAGACAAATATAACTATGTATTATACACTACAGTAAGTGCAAAAACATTAAGCACTTCTGTGTAAAGGAACATGCTTTGGCACGAATGGGGCGGTTCGACAGGAATGATACCACGGCCTCACAAAAAACCGTCGTGGAACAAGCACAGCGTTCTGTTTCGCCGTGTGAGTGAGGTTACTGAAGGCCCTGTCCCTCCTTTATGCCAAAACCTCCAAATCCCTAATCCCAAATAGTTGGCAATGCACTCGTAACTCTTTCGTTGTTGTGGATGTGCATGGGAGGCGCTGATTGCTTACCATCTGGTAATTCGTGTATTGTAGACGACCGTCTCTAGTAGTTGGCCGTTCACATAAGAAAAACAACCAAATAGTTTTGGGTTGTACCTAAAGCAATTACAATAGGTTTTAAGCAATAGCAAGCAATAGGTTTGTATTTTGCGTGTGCGTGAGGTCAGTGAAGACCATTCCAAATCTTATTCATCCTATAAGGTAGACTCTTGTAATCTTGCAACTACTTTGGTCTCAATAGACACTTTCGCTTATTATCAGGTGACCCGAGTGTTGGTTTGCCGCGTTATCCCAGAAAAAAGAAATGTTTCGGGTCTGAATGTGAATGCCAAATTTTATTTTGGTAATTAACTACGCATTCACGATACATTGGAGAAATCTCGTGTGGGATAAAGAACAAACAAAGAATATAAGTAGATTACTATATAGCTACTCTCGCGCGGTTTCACCCGCTGCTCAGCTCCATTTGACCGTAGCGTCATGTTTTATAGCCTATAGCACTCGGGAACATTGGCAATCCGACCAGCGATTCCAAAGATTACCCCCTACATACAAACTTACAAATTTTACCTCTTTGTAATATTAGTATAGATTTAGTAACGAGATAATCCGTTAGATGACAGTAAAAAAAATTCTAAAATATTTTCCAGGTATTTACGGGTTGCCGTTAGTTTTGTCCGTATTTGGCTTGCAGCTGTATACGGCGGTACTGCTAGGGAAGAGCTGGCTACTGGCACAGAAGATAACTCCAGATATTAAAGAAAAGAACAGGTGAGACTAGTTTTTAATTATACAATTACACATCTTACTAATATTATAAATGCGAAAGTTACGATGTTTGGATGTTTGTTACTCAATCACGCCAAAACGGATAGACGGATCTGGAATAAATTTGGCACAGTCATAGGATACACTTCGGAATACGACATAGGCTACTTTTTATCAACATACCACGCGGGCGAAGTCGCTGGCGGAAGCTAGTACATACATATATACGACCTCCAAACCCTGAAAAAAGAACTGAATTACTGTTACAAGGATTGGCAACATTTCTCTTCTAGCTTTGCTGGTACCTATGGGATGAGTGTTTAACAAAATGTCTTATGTTGTGAAAATTCTCTAATGACTTCTCCTGCTCTGGATGAAGCGAGACAGAATGTGACTTAGTGATAAAAACCACCCCGTTTCTTCTCGTTTTACTACTCTGGGCCCGGGCAGAGTAACGTGTGTAAACAAACAAAAATCAATAAAAACTTCACATTTTATTTTTATTTTACAAAATGTCAAATTCTCGTCTAGTTAATAACATTTTTCACTTTTGTGACAAATCTTTACCCATCGTAGGGCCTCAACCTCAAGTCTCACCCCCTAACCAACTTTTATGCGCGACTTACCACGGCACGCTACACTCCTACTTTTAATAAGGTAGTTTCCAACTAGTCAAATTCAATACTTTTATTCAAAAACGATACTTTTCTATGAAATTTGTGTGAAAAACTGAGTTATAACATCATAGTATTTTAGCGTCTTACTTATTTCTTAATAATTAGCTACAAAATATCTCAAACTTATTGTATCGATCGATCCATGAATAAAAGTATTGTTATTTTTCAATATTTTATTATTAGTATTGACACGTCGAACTAATTTATTTTTGACCTAGGAAACTACCCAATTAGCTTCTGTCGCGCGGTTTCACTCGCTACTCGGCTCCTACAAATCGTAGCGTGATGTTTTATTGCCTAAAGTCTTCCTCGATAAATGTACTAACAAACACAAGAAGAATCATTCAATTCGAACCATCAAACAAAGAAACTCTCCAGCTATATACATATAATATTAATTAGAGTATAGATAAACTAATCCATGAACAATGCTGAGGTTTTAATAGAAATCAAGAGATATGCAACTAACCAGCACTTTATAAAGTTTATTTATAAAGTGCTGGTGCTTCATGCATAACACAAGTAAAGCCATTAAAAATTATGTCGTGAAATAAAATAAAGAGTACGAAGTTATAATAATACCTCATTTGATGCCATGCCAAGTTTCACTATATTTTAAGTGAGGCCTTGTTATTATTCTCTTTTCAAATTAGAACTTTCTTCAAATTAAGACTAAGTACTTTGATGTAGTTAACATCCGGGTCCAGGAATATTCCCTTCTTCTTTATTTATCAAACTTTCTCGCTCATTTTATAAATAAAAACTTTATAAATCCAACTACAACTTTATAAATTTAACTGCAGTGGGGTCAAGTTTATTTTTTACATCCAGATTTCCTTATGCGGCAGTAGCAGAATTGGCTTTTGGCGCGCCAGCAAAGAGGCTGGTCACTTTCCTTATTGATGCAGCCGTCTTCGGTTCAGGAGTTCCTAATTTTATTATTGGTAAGTTCTTGACTTTAACATTGAACAGTAGAATAATTTTGTCACCATTCCTGTTCTTCTCTCGCTCTCTGATAAACATGAACTTTTAAAACTGCGATCTCTTTTTAAAAGTTGGAGATCCGTTATTCAGCATTTACGCCGGTTCGATCAGCGCGAACCGACGTTATTTATTTTTAAGTTTGAGGACCGGAGGCCCAGGTATTTCCTATCCCTCCCTAGTTGCCCAAATCTCAAATCCCAACAACCAGCAAAAAGGCCGCAACAGACCATTAACTCGTGTTTCAGTTGTCCTGCAAAAAACCATTAAAAATACTAACCAGCCTACAGAGCGATCTCTTCAAATGTGAAGTCCCTTACCGCCGAAATTAGTTACCGATCTTATTGATCCTCTGGATCGACCTCAGTTTTTTAACTCTTTCACTGTCCACAAAGTTGACACAATAGCCATGCGTCATATGTTTTTGGGATAGGAAAGTGATTAATCGCACGGAGCAGAGACAAAGAGTTGTTCAGTGATCAATCCTCAGAATTTTGGGTGTGATCGGATTAAATTCGGCAGTTTGTTGGCTCTTTCGGCATTCGCAGGGTAAAGTAACAGATAACAAAACTCTCTTGCCAAACGGACTTATTCTAACAACTTATGTCCTTCCAGCTTCGCAGACGTTGCAGATATTCTGGTGGAAGATATCCGGCGGAGAGATCGGCATCACGTATTGTGTGTGGATGGTCATCCTGGGATTGTTGCTCTGTCCTGTCATGTGGCTGGGCTCACCCAAGGATATGAAGTAAGTAATGGACTTAAGAGAGAGACTTTGATGAGAGATGTTAGTAAAGGGATTCAGATATAAAAACAGTTACCACAATTTAAACCTAAGTACTGCTTTTTCACATGTGTTTGTTCAGAACCAATACTTATTTTCTTTTTCATACATGCACCAAGTAACTTTCGTTTCTTGTTTGGGCGGCAAGCGACACTTGACACTTGCCACCTGACGATAACCAATCCGCACCGGTCATAAATATCCCTAACTGCAAAGGTGTTTGTAGGTTGTTATGGATTTGAGGATAAAGGATTGGGGTTGGAGATGGGGAAGAATTGGGCCTCTGGTAACCAGAATGGTACTTTTCCAGAAAAGTGGAATAGTGGCTATAGTTAATATCACTACTATCGTAATGACTATCTATTATATACTCGTATTATGTGTGTAGGCATGTAAAGATAGCTTTTTTGAAAAAGGAACATCTCACGGTTGTGTTTTTGCAGGCCAATAGCGATAACTTCAGTGATAATTGTGACTACCGTCGCAATTACAACGTGGACGTGTATCCTGCGAGATGACACTTCTCCAAGGCCACTTTTCAATGTGGTAGACTTACAACCACAGCTACAGGACTTCTTAATAGCTTACGGCATTCTTGCATTTCAGGTAAAGGTTGCATAGGTTTATTTGGCAGAAACAGGTCGCGGTTGGTAAAGACGAGATTTTTTATTCTCAAATTTTAAACTATAACACACATTTCTTGTTCCTTATCGGCGTTAGCAATGACTGAAATTGCGCTTTAGAATATTGAAATCAATGATCAGTAAATGCCCACCGACACATTTTGATAAGAAAAGAAAGAACAAAGTACCTACCCCTCTGGTTTGACTATCGGTCAATCTAGCTCACCTGGCAAGATTGGTAAGCGTGGATATTAGGTACATTCATGCTTGCCAGACCAGGTGGCAATCCCTCTACAGTAGGAGACACAAAGTTTAATACTGGATTGTCACGGGCTGTTATGTAAAGGCCCAAGTGAATAATTTACCTTATGGGCTTCAGGCGTGGTACCAACTAAAGGACTTTAATAAGCGTTCCATTTTCAGTTTGACATCCATCCAATGCTGTTGACGCTGCAAGTGGACATGAAGGACAGTAAGAAGATCAATGCTGCAGTGCTGGGGGGTTTCGGCATCACTGGCTGTATGTTCGCAGTCACCACCGTCCTCTCTGCCTTCAGATATGGAACTGATCTTGATAACAATATATTGCAGAGTAAGTAAATCTTAAGTTTTTTCGAACCACGAGGTACATCATAAGATTATTTTAATAACCCACTAATGGTGTTAAAGGAGCACGCAGATAGATCACCTTATTTAAAGCCTTTTGGCAAACCAGAGGAATTACAAGTGCTTTGCTAGCCATTAGGGGAGGTGAGGATGAGGAGATACAACGCAAACATTGTTTTATGGCAGTTTTCGCTTCTTTATACAGAGGTCTTTCCGTTGCACCACCAAGGGTACATTGTTGATGAACTAGTCGATACGTTTTTTCGCATTTTGTACTAAATTATACATTTCCGTACAGGCATTCCGTCTTCAATACCGCTGTACCTGATGTCACTTTTGGTGACTCTTCAGCTGTGCCTTTCGAGTGCAGTCAGTCACTCAGCGCTGTTCCAACATATTGAAGATATAATGAAGATTCCTAGAGGTAATTCCTTTAGTTTCCATAGAAAAACTCAATCAAACCTCAATATAAAAAAACCTAACTTTATTTATTTTTTCTTACAGATTTCTGCTTTCAACGCTGCCTAATAAGATCAAGCATCGTAGCTTTGGCAGTTATTCTAGCTGAATCCGTGCCCCGATTCGATTTAGTTATGGGCCTCGTAGGGTCCACACTTACCGGGCCGTTAATGTTCATCTGTCCTCCCGTGTTCTTCCTCAAACTATGCTATATGAAATCCAAAATGTCTCCGAAAAATAACCCTTTTTATAAACTAATAGAAAAACAAAACGGAACTCAAAATGGTAGTTCACAAAATGGAGGCATTAAAAATGTCAGTTCTCAAAATGGCGATCTGTCAAAAAGCCCGCTAATTTCTGTTGGTTCATCGACCAAATACAAAACATTCACAGATTACGCTATAGAAATAACGAAAGAAGAGGATGAATATGCTATTAAATGGTACGATGTGGTTTTAGCTTTAATTGTTATGACGATTGGCATTGTGGCGACCATTGTAGCGACTTATTCGAGTTGGGCGAACTCTATAGCTTATGCTACGTTTAGTCCGCCATGTTTGATGAATGCCACTGAAGCTGCTAGAAGCTTTTTGCAGTTACCCATGGCTGTATAAGAGTTTATTATTACATAAGCGATGAGATTCTCTAATCCAATAAATAAATCGTCAAATTTCTTCATCAAAACATTGTCATATTTGAATAATTAAGAAATAATAAAATTATCATTTATGACAAAACAGAAAAACTATTTTGAGATGAGGCACTGAGATTATGATTTTTTATCTACGTATGTTAACTGAATATCCATTGCTTTGTTTCATTTAAAAAAAAATATGGGGGCTCTATCGCTAATTGACGGAATCAACTAAATAACCAATATTCTATTGGTTACAACTGTATGCCATAGATACTAGCGAAACTGCCATTATTTTGTTTACGAATTTATTAAAAAGTATTTACCACGTGAAGTTAAAATACTCACCATAATTATAAAGTAATATGTAAGTCGGCAATTTGGCAACAAATGATTGTAAATAGTAAGTAAGTAAAAGGTACTGTGACAGTACCTGCCCTTAAGATTAAATGATAATAAGTAATTATAATAAAACAACAGAATTATTGAATTGTCTTTTATTCAACATTACAATCATATAAGATACATAATTATTAACAATACAATTTTCAGTCATTCAGTACAAATTCGACATTTTAACCTTTTATAGGAACAACCCAACTTAAATTGATTATAGCCTGCGATCTCTCAAAGTGATACACAGAAAATACAAGTCAGCCAATTTATTTGGCATGCAAGTAAAAAGTTCAGAGACATTAATATGTATATACATATAAGCAGCTTTATTAAAATATACAATTAGCACAATTTAGTAGGTATAACAATATACATTTATGTCTCTGCAAGAAATCAATTTTTATTTTGTTACTTGCTAAATTCTCTTCCTGACTGTAAGTACATTACAATGATGCCCTGACCTTCAGGTCTCCCTCACCAGTGTGACTGTAAGTACAAATGACACCTTCTTTGGAAGTCAATAAATTAATAAAAGAGTTTTATTCCGAAAGGCCGATCAATGTTAAAATCAATTTAATCACTTGTCAAGTCATCTGATTGGTTGACTGAATTATCACCAACCAATCAGATGACTTGACAAGAGATTTAACAGAAGAATAGTTAATTTTAGCGTCGACAAGCCTTCAGAAACCGTGTGTTAGTCTACAGGTAATAATCAAAATTTGAAAAAAGGAATGGATCGCTTAAAAATATTTGTTCCATTATCCCAATAAATAGTAAATGCATTTTGTAATTTGGTATTCTTTCGTTGACATATCTCTTGCTGTATAATCTGTGCCCATATATTTTTAAAACGATGTTTTGTTACATAAATGTTAGAAAAAAAAAGTAAATAACGGGGTTCATCAGTTTTGCTCGCTAGATGGCAATAGTTTAGAGTTTTCAGGTATTACAACACTATTGGACGATCAGACTGACGGTTATATTAATTTGACAAACTAATATCATTTAGGAGTATTAGCGTCATGGGTTTTTAAAAATCGGTAACCCCATTATTTAAAACAGGATTATCTACATCTACTATGATGACAACCAAATAAAAATCTTACTTCAAAGTAATATGTTATTAATTTTACATTTGGAAATTAAACAGTTTAGTACTTTAGTGTTATACACATTATTTTATTATCATTCCCATTAGAGGAGTTAAACAGAGGTACGTTAAAATTTACAAGCAACTTTTCTTTGAGGAGGTGACGAAATAGCCAATAATACCTTACTCGACCAATGCGTAAGCAAGCTTTACTTCAACGATCCTGTTTATTAATCTTGTAGATAGCAGTTGTGGATGAAAAATTTCAAAAAAAAAACATGGTACTGTATCCAAGATAACCATAAGATCATCAACACAATTAAAGACGTTTCAAACAAACTAATTATGCTAACAGGAATTAACAAAAATTGGTACCTATTGAAAGTTGATTGAAAATAATTTCTATACCTACTCTGTGACAACTATTTCACAGACGGGCACAAACGGTCTCACTGTGTATACCCTTTGGCAAATCAAAATTATTTTCGTAACGTTCAACTTAAAAATAACCTATAAATTAATCAACAAAATGTTTAAGTAACAGAAAACGTTTATTATGCGTTCCTTTCAAATGTACTTAAAACATTAAATTAATATCTTTAAAATGTTAATGAAATTTAAAAACATGATAGTACATTATGCACATACTTGTTTCACTGTAGCGATTTGCTAATTTATTCCTTGATCAAGGTATAAAACATTATATTGATAAATGAAATCAAACTTTAAATATATCAGGAACTATCTATGAGGCGGTTAAACAAACTAACCGATAAAATAACAACTTAATAAAACATTATATGAATTCAATCCACCTACACTATTAACAAAAACGCGTGTCTATTGAGTGAATAGAAATATTTGACATAATTGGGAAATTACTCAAAAATAAATTCATAGTATGAAATAAGCTTTAATTCAGATATCCCTCAAATCAGATTCAATAACCCTTTAAAATTTAGAGTCGTCAATAGTTCCGAGTTTAAGTTCATTTGCGAGATCTTTGTCGTGATTGGACCAACATGTGATCCCTGAGAGGCGCCAGATGTAACCTCAACAAAGAAGGTTCGACCTTCAAGCTAGGATATAAACAAATCAAGGAGGGAGCTAGTAGTACCGTAAGCTTTTCTTTACACGAGAATAGCCCTCCTCAACAGAAGAAACGGAAAGTATCTAATTAACCCAATCTCGATAAAATTACCAGTAGATAGCTCAACAGTTCCATCACATCACACACTACCAACCTAAGTGCTGAGTAAAGGCATCTCACGCGGCTAAGCTTTAAGCATTAATCACCAGGCTTGTTCATGATGGCATAATTATATGACCTTTAGCAAACTAAAGTAAGGATTCAAACTTAAAATTCAAAAAGAAATTATAGGTCAAAGTTTCCGTACGATGTTTATTAGTGGTGTTTTAATACACTTAGAAAGTAAACATAACTTAGAAAAAGTCTTGGTGATACTACAGTAAGACTGTGTTTTTCGAGTTCCTAAATTTTATCACACGGTAAGCAACAACTTAGGTGTGTTGACATAACATACATTTTTATTAATTGATTTTACGATATACCGGGTAATTTCGGGTTACTTTGACCCTGCGGGGTAACTTTGATCCAAACCCTTTAACCAATAATAACTGAAAACCAAACGTATATTAGTTTTTCATTGGTTCGAAAATTTGGATCAAAGTTACCTCCCAGGGTCAAAGTAACCCGAACTTACGGTACATAATATTTTGGTCATTTTCTATAAAATGTTTTGACGTAATATGTCAAGACGTCACAATACAATTAATTTACATGTCCATATTCGACATTATTTTCATAAAAAATGAAATATATTATTTGTGGCTTGTGTGTACTATAACTAAATCTCATACATTTCTATTCACTCAATTAGCGATCCACACTCTAAGGTTCAATAAAAGACATGTTCATGGGACGCTATATGTTACGCTTACTTCTTAGGCAATACTAATTGTTTGCCAAAGGTTTTCCTGATAACTTTCTTGTCCAATTTGCCCATCGCGTTTCTGGGCATTTCCTCCGTAATGAGCAGAGTTTTAGGTAGCTGGTAGGGTGCAAGTTTCTTTCCTGCAGCTTCCTTAAGCTCTTGAAGGGTAAGTTTAGCATTTTCCTTTAGTACTACAACAGCTGACACTATTTCTCCGTAGTTGTCATCTTCAATTCCAAGGACAGCAGCGTCAGCTATGCTAGGGTGATCTAGAATCGCGCTCTCCACTTGTAAGGCACTTACTTTGTAGCCTCCAGTTTTGATGATATCCACTGAAGTGCGTCCCAATATCCTGAACTTACCGTCTTCGAAGGAAGCCGTGTCACCGGTACGGAACCAGCCGTCTTCGGTAAAATCTGACGAGTTTAGTGTCGGGGCCCGATTCCAGTATCTATAACAAGAGTTTCATGTAAAAATGTGTACATGCATATTATGCCAACAACGCATTCTATCCTATTCGGTCACACAGTGCGCAGAGGAGATGAAAGTCTGGAAAAACTGATTGTCGTTGGGAACACCAACTATTTCGACCGATCAAGTGACAGATTCGTCGTCATCCGAATTTTTCACAGTAGTGAGAGATGCGCTGAATCGAAGGCAGGTCATCCGCTTCAGATGTTACCCCTTCAGATCCTCAGACCGACTATAAGAAGACTACATGCATATATGAATAAATAATGTATATGACTCACAGAAAACCGGCGTGAAATAACCACTGCGTTGTGTTTCGCCGTGTGAGTGAGGTTACTGGAGGCCCAATCCTTCCCCTTCCCCCATTCCTCCTCAATCCCTAAATCTCCAAATCCCTAATCCCTAAAAGGTCGGCAACGCACTCGTAACTCCTCCGTTGCGAGTGTCCATGGGCGGCGCTGATTGCTTACCATCAGGTAATCCGTCTGCTCGTTTGCCGACCTATTACATAAAAAAAAATGAATTTTAGGGTACATACACAAAGGAACACTTTTAAATGTTTGTCTATCTGTTTGTTTGTTCTAGTTTATCTTTGGAATGGCTGGACCGATTTTGACCGGAATTTTATTGGGAGGTAGCTGGTGTATGTTGAAAGTAAAATTTTGTACGGACGAAGTCGCGGACATAAGCTAGTATTTAATAAATATTTTAGGAGAAGATTGTTTTGTTGGCGCCTAATTACACTATAATACGTATAGCTAAAAAAACATTCAACTTTAACATTTGACATTCGTAGAGTATACAAAAAACAGATGTTTGTATACATATAGGTACATAATAAAGTATGTGTATATAAAACACCTGTTTTAATGTTTTATTCATCAAATGTTTAATGTAAACATAAACATAGTTTCTATAATGCTTGAGGACAAACCTCCTTTGACTATCGTATACATATTGTCTCGAGCCATTAAAAAAATAGGTTCTATGTTACTTAATGTATAATTTATGACTTCATAACTTAAGTGCAATTTCGTACCGTACAGGTTTCATAGAAAAAACATGGCCCTCAAATAATTTCCGTGTGTGTGTATCTTGATTGTAAAACTGCAAAGTAACGCATGGAAAATTTATAAAATACTAGCTTGCCCCCGCTTCGCGCGGGTTCAACTATGTCGCTAACAACAATAGGGCCACTTTTCCCAATTTCTCCCACTACTTTCCTAATATTTTCTTTGATACGAACCAACCAACCAACCTTCTGACAATCTATACTAATATTGTAAAGCTGAAGAGTTTGTTTGTTTGTTTGAACGCGCTAATCTCAGGAACTACTGGTTCGAATTGAAAAAATCTTTTTGTGTTTAACAGACCATTTATTGAGGAAGGCTGTAGGAAGGTAGAAGAATCTGTAGGAGCTAAGCAAGTGAAACCGCGCGAATAGCTAGTATTAAATATAACTAAAATAGAATTGGAAAAATTGGTTCAGGCGTTGTTGAGTTATGCGCCTACCAACACATTTTGCGATTAATTTTTATTTTAAACTAGCGGCCCGCCCCCACTTCGCACGGGTCCAACTATCTCGCTATCAAAGGCTCGCTTTTTCCTAATCTTTCCCTCTATTTTTCTAATATTTTCTTTGGTAAGAACCTTCTCCTGACAATAACAAACACAACAAAAAAAAATTTAGCAAAATTGGTCCAGGCGTTGTTGAGTTATGCGCTTACCAACACATATTGCGATTTATATTTATTTTAAATAGATAAGTATAAAAATAAAATAGGTACGTACAGAAACGTACAAATCTTTACATATTGTAGCTATAAGCTATATAATAAAACCTAAATACACTACGGACCAGGAAATAATGAGACTAGTATAATGTCGTAAGCAATGCAGTATATTTAGATGTGTCGCGACCCGCGTGACGTATTCCTGCGTCAATGTTCTGTCAGCCAAGGTAACGCATCAGCTACCGCCGCCGTCTACGTCAGCGAACCTAACTTATTACTAACTTCCCTTTTTCATCATAATAAAATATTTAAAAACTTTGGCTAATATTATCAATTATTGTTAATCAATAAGTTCGCAGTCATTTTCAGCGGCAACTGAGAGTTTACAGCTATTTTTTTTGAGGAGGCATAATCATTAAATTACTTCTGTCGCCCTAAATGGGCCAGAGGGAGTGTCGAGACTCTTACTGGCCAAAAACCACCCTCGTTCCTACTCCTGGTCCAGGTTGGGGCTGCGGTACCGATATTATTAACACTTGAATTGGGAGAGCAGTTTATCGAGAACTGTTGCCGCGTCTGACAAAGTCGTTATGTTAAGTCATCCCGCGACGCCCGGAAGATCACAGATGGTTTCGTATGTATGACTCTGAAATCTGCAGTAAGTCACTATTCCACGCGAATGAAGTCGCGGGCAAAAGCTAGTTTTATATAATTTATAAGAATAGATCCCATCATTTGTTCTTTTTTTTACAACTTGTCTCTGCATTGTACTCATATTAAAAATAACTATACTAAATGTTATATTAGTGAAATTGTAAAAAAAATATTATTTTTTAAAAAGAGTAACGATGGAGTTTCTTACTAGTTCTTCTCCATTCGAATCTACAATTTGGAATGAACACCTAGCTTCACTGACGAATAGACTGACAAACTACTATTCTATTTTGACGTTTCAGAAGTAGGTACCTACCTATTTATGGTTTAGCTGGAATAAATGATTTTGACTTTATATAAACAGATAAAATACAAATTTACACAACTTGCTTATCACTATCATTATTATAGTATAAGAAAAAAAGGAAAACATACACAATCTAAAAACTATAAAATATTACAATCACTCATTCATATTTTTCGCTAAACTTCAAGCATTCCATCAAAAATAATCTTCATTCACTCGAAAACACATCACACTAGACTTGTCATCTAAGAGTTATGTTAATATGTATGTAAATACAATGTATTAATACCTATATTTGAGCTGCGTCTGCATAACTTAGTTTAATTATTATTTGTATGTCTTTACCAATCACGGGACCACAGGGTCCCGGTCATTTGGAAGGCGTACGAGGGGCCGGAGCCAACTGCGCAGAGGCCCTTTAGACAACTTTAATCTAAATGAAATGGGACACTAACCGGCGACTATCCCTGTATGCACTATGGAAATGCACCCAAGGACAGTCTCCGGTTAGTGTAGGACTATTGCGGATAATGGAAACAAGGGATAAGACTATGGGTGTGGGTTGTTATGGACTGGTATGATGGGAACTATGGAAGGACTATGGCACCTGCCGAAACAATGTAATAATTACACGTAAAAATGGCAGGTGGAGACTCGCCAACTCACCGACCGGGCCCCCGGGAATGGTCGCTAGTAATAGCAACAGAGGGACAACGGAAATGTGAGTGGCTGAAGGGTGAAGAAACTGCCACCAGCTTTCTACTCAGATCATCTGCATCTGCCTAAGCATCCTGCATCACTGGCCCACTCGCCGCTTACGAACAGCTTCCACCCTCCGAGCAGGATCACTACTCTCGCGACTCCACTCTGGACGGCCAATGAAGGCAAGCCAGAGGTGGGAGACCTGTTCCTCGTCATCGTTCACTCCGACCAGCCAATGAAGGCAAGCCGGAGATAAGGAACGGTGACTCCTCCCTGGAGCAATCGGGATGATGGTAGCCCGCGGGATCGCTAATTCCCGTCACCTCGCCTCAAGGTGCCCTGCGGGCTAATTATTATTATTATTATTGAAACTATTTTTACCGACCATTTAAGTTATTACGTCAATTATACTAGTATTATGCAAATTAATTTAAATTTCCGTTCATTCAGCAATTATTATCATCATTCATTATCAACCGAAATATTTCCACTAATGAATAAAGGCCTTTCATCTTAGGAGACGATTTGCCGGTATCCCTACACTTGCTTGATGATTATTTTATGGGGATCATAGCTTTAGGTTCTAGATGAAACGTGCTATTGCCCGCCACAGTTTAGAGAACTACACTAAGGACACGGTGGAGCAAACGGTTTTTTTTTTTCTTTTTTTTTTTGTCAGGGGAAAATCATCAAATGACTTCTCCCGCCCTGGGCCGGGCGGGAGGAAGTGTCAGACTCTTATTGACTAAAAACCCCCCTGTTCCTTCTCCTGCTCTGGGCCGAGGTCGCGGTGCCCCATTACGCTTACCCCGCAACCCCGGCTGGTGGAGCAAACGGTGGCGATGTGATTTGCTTAGGCTGAGCACCGCCGTGTCCTCAGGGAAGTGAGCGGTGGCGACGACCTCGCGCCCAGCCTAAGTCGAGGCCATGGTGCGTAGCGAGAGGAACTGGGAAGCCGTATCCTCCTCCTCACGTTCTAGCCACCGTAGTAGGCGATACTCAGGGCGTCAGGTATCCAGAGGAATGTACGTGCGGATCTGCGCACAGCGAGTAAGCATAACAAGCCGCCCGCTATAACCAGACCCGAGCGTGTCACAGGGTAAGCGCAATGAGGCACCGCAGCCTCGGCCCAGAGCAGGAGAAGGAACGAGGGAGTTTTAAGACAGTAAGAGTCTTACACTCCCCTGTGTAAGAATCTGGGAGAAGTCATTTGGTGATTTCCCCCCACAAAAGCGATCGCCGGCGTTCAGGCATTGTGTTCTTCTATTGTATCTCGAATTACTACGATTGAAAGGTTAATTACGGCAGAAATTCTTTTTGGTAAACTATCAACGAGACTTTTACAGTCTCAATACTACTAATACTAAAAATCTACTTTAGTTTAACTACTTTCTAACTGGTATAAATAAGTAAACAATATAAGCGAATGACATTATTAAAATAACCAGTCTTACAGTTTAAGACTGCATTTAATTATAAATATTTGTAATGCAAATGCGGCGCTTGCGCACTCAGTCAAGGTGATAATTCTATGTCTATGACGTGCGGTTCACTGTACTATTGTGTTATAAAAACTAATTTTAGCCCATCAACTATCGGTTCCGACTTCCCCTTTAGTTTAGAAGTATACATGGTTGCTGAGCTCAAGGTTATATGTTCAATCTCTGAGTTATCATCATGAGACTAAAACTATGCCACCACATCACCGTAAGAGCGGTTCTACAGACAACTTATAAGGGCAACTTGCCACTAGATATGGGCGTTGAATCAACGAAAGTAAACGATGACCAAATTTATTCTTAAAATGATGATATTCGTGCGCGAAAAATTATAAATAATAATTGATTTATGTACATAAAAATCAGATGATCTTCTAAATACGCCTGAAATTTGTGTTTTATAGCAAATTAATCAGTCAGTCCTAAGCCAGAAAAAAGTATGAAGGGAAGATCATCTAGAACCCTATGTAGGTAGTGGGTAAAGTCATCATAAAATGTTATCCCATTTCATTAGGTAAATTGCATCAAAATGTTCGTAAATTAACATTACTACAGCTTACGTTAATAAAAGCGTTTAGGCGTTTATCTTTCATGCAAGTTGACGTCCGTAACACGTTAACTAGTTGAAGAAATTAACTAGTTGATCAACTAGTTGACGAACGCAATTCAAAGTTAACGTATCGTTAACGGAAAATCCTTCAACGACCCATCGCTACTTGCCACCCAATCAGCTCATATATACCGCAGCCCAGCTCGGAGCAAGAACAGGAACGTAGTTGTTTAAAGTCTTATTGACTTCAAACAACGGGGTTGGATAGGGGTGTGTTAGGGGTCTCTTCTCCGGATTTTAGAAAAAACGCGGAGAAGATAGTGGATGACTGTCAAAAATAACTCTTGAAACGAACAATTGTGGACATTAGGTCGAATGTGGACATTAAGTCGAATAAATGATTTTGACTTTGACTTTATATAAACAGATAAAATACAAATTTAAACTACTTGCTTATCACTATCATTATTATAGTATAAGAAAAAAAGGAAAACATACATAATCTAAACACTTTTAAATATTAAAATAATGAATTCATCTATTTAGCAAAACTTAAAGCATTCCATCAAAAATAATCTTCATTCACACGATAACACTATAATAAGAAATAAGTTAGCTTCGCTGACGTAGACGGCGGCGGCAGCTGATGCGTTACCTTGGCTGACAGAACATTGACGCAGGAACACGTCACGCGGGTCGCGACACATCTAAATATACTGCACTGCTTACGACATTATACTATCCTCATTATTTCCTAGTCCGAAATACACTAATTTAGATTTTATTATCTAGCTTATAGCTACAACATATAAAGATTTGTACGTACCTATTTTATTTTTATACTTATCTATTTAAAATAAAAATTAATTTCAAAATGTGTTGGTACGCGCATCACTCAACAACGCCTGGACCAATTTTGCTAATTCTATTTTAGGTTATATTTATTATTTTCTGAAGAAGGTTCTTATCAAACCTTTTTTTTAGTCCATACTTTCCATCGGAACTGTTCTGCTAACAGATCTAAGTTTTCAATTCGTCGTGAATTAACTCGACTTTTTATATAGATAGGACGGTATGATGTGTAATGACCAAACGGATGGTAAGCAATTAGCGCCTCTCATAGACACCCGCAACACCGGAGAAGTAAAAAATGCGTTGCCGGGCTTTTGGAGGCTAGAAACAACTACAGCGTTGTGTTCCGCCGTGTGACTAAGGTTACCGGAGTCCCAATCTCTCCACCTCACCCCATCCCTTCGCAATGCTTAAATATCTGGAACCTTAATCACTAAAAGGCCGGCAACGCACTCGTAACTATTATGTTATTGTCTGTTGTGTCTATGGGCGACGCTGATTGTTTACCATCAGGTAATCCGTCTACTCAAAAAAGTTATAAGAACTTACCTAGAGAATACAGCGGGTCCCTTGATCAACAGTTCTCCATGGTACACATCATCACTATGTTCTTTGTGCTTCGTGATCGTTGGGGCCTTCCACTCGTAACGATCGGAGTCCACGAACAAATCCTTCGACGACAAACCGAGACGTTCCAGACATATCTACGAATAAAATATTTATTTATGTATTTACTTGAGCTGTAATGCTACAGGCATTTTCTGCCAATCGAATCTTTAGGTGATGTTAAGAGGAGTTAACTTGCAGCTGCGTGTAGCAAGCAAAATCGAGATATTTAATTTGAATTATCCTTGTACGTACGTGCGTAAATGAGGGTCTCATATACAGTCGTAAACGAGAGTAAAGGTACCTAAGGCCCAGTTCTTTGTCCCATAATGCCAAATACATTCGGAAAGTCACATCGGTAATTGCAAGGTTTCGAACCCTCACTTTCATGTATTAGAAGCGCCTTAATCTCCGGGCCACCACGACCAAAATCTACGAGTTTTTAATCCGACAAAGTCCGGGATACCCTCGTGTCCGAACCGGAGTCACTAATTGCTTACCATCAGGATCGGCGTGGCCCATAATAGTACGGTCAGCTGCAGAGAAATGGACCCTCCCTGAAGTACAAATATGTATGCAGCTATCTGCATAGGGGGATCCTTGTCTCTGCAGCTGAGTGTACAAGTGACTAATGTTGATGATTAAAGCTGAGGCGCATTAAGGCCTGAATGGTCAGGCGAGGGTCTTAAGCCGAGGACAACCCGGCGTGAAATAACCACAGCGTTGTGTTTCGCCGTGTGAGTGAGGTTACCGGAGGACCAATCCTTCCTCTCCCCAATCCCTAAATCTCCAAATCCCTAATCGGTCGGCAACGCACTCGTAACTACTCCGTTGCGAATGTCCATGATTGGTCAGAACGGCGCTTATTGCTTACCATCAGGTAATCCGTCTGCTCGTTTGTCGATCGTTTACATAAAAAAAAGAGGACAGTATTTCAGACAGATTTTTTTTATATTAATCCTATATATATATTAATATATATATATAATAGAGACCTATAAAACTACATTGCATACCTGTGTCTCTGGCACTGGAGTCTCAACAGTTACCAAAGGCTCTAGTTCACCGGTATCCTCTCGTTGTGAGACTATCCTTGCTGAGACTCCCGGTAGGGGGAGCCCTACGCACCCCACGCTGCGCGCCTCCACCGGCCGGTAGGGGTTACTTAGCGCCATGCCCACTTCAGACATTCCAAATCTTTCTAGAAGGCGCATGCCAGATATCTGGAAAAGGAATATTATATCAGGTATTTTTATTTTATGACTATTTATGATTTTCTAAAGACTTGACAACTCCTAGACGGAGAGTCCTGACTTCTTAGTTCAATTATTATCTAATTGTCGGTCATGTAAAGATGCATACGTTCTGGAACAGCGAATGCCACCGCACTAAGAATGCAGCCAATGTATTTTAAAAAGCGATTACTTTGGTTTTCATTGATTTTTAACATATAATTGAGATGAGTTTAATTTTTTCGATAGGGAAAATGTTCTCCCGCCCTGTGTAGGGTGAGACTTAGTGAATAAAACCATCTGGTCCTTCTACTAATCCAAATCTCCAATACTAAACAATCCGTAAAAGACACTGGTGACCATTCGTTTTGTCACTAGTCCATGGGTCGCCGCCGATTCACTTCTTCTTCTCCCTCCAATCTTCTTTCTACGCCCATCCCTCTCCAATCATTAAATATCCGAAACCCGAAAAAAAGCCCGGAAACGCATGCGTAACTCCTTTGGTGTTCATGGGCTGCGTAGATTGCTTACCATCAGGTTACCAGCGTACTGTTTAGCCGACCTATTTTATATAAAAAAAACTAACTTATTGGCTACGTGCAAAGCGAGTAGTGGCGGACAGATAACGACCGCAGCGCACAACACGGCAGTAATTGGAAACAAATGCGGACGAACAGCTATCGGTTTTTATTATTTTATTCATTTTACAGTAAAACTATTGAATAAATTTCACTTAAATAATGTCAACAATAATATTTTAATCTTTGGTTTTATTTATATTTGCAAAGTAAATTATTATTTACATTGTTATTATTTGACAGCTTCCGGAAATGTTGTAAACGCTGCGCGTCGCCACTGTCGCGGTCATAGACAATAACTCACCTCCTCCCATTTCAAGAACAGCTGAGCCGGTAACGGAGCAGACCCGGCACACATCAGTCTCATTCTACTTCCTAAAGTAGTTCGCACGTACTCCGCAGTCTTCGGGTCAGAGAACATTCTATCGTAGTCGGCTACCAATCTCGCATACATAGCAGGGACGCCGTGAAAGACCGTTACTTTGGTCTCATCCCGCTCCCCCATCCCAAGTAGACGAGACCAAACGTTGTGAGACACGAAAGACGGAAGCATTCGGAGTCTGTTGACGAAATTGCAACATAATATTAAATCTTTCTTTTTGAGAAGAGGAAATCATTAGTTACCTTCACCCAGGAGTGGGGTGAGAGGGAGTGGTAGTCTCTTACTGACTAAAAACTTCCCCGTTCTTTCTCGCGGTCTTGTTGCGGTTGGCCCGCGTTTGTTATACTAAGTAGTGAACAGTTAATTCGGTGAAATACCAACTATGCGCACATTTTTTTGGTGCGTTTGTAGTTTTGTATCAACGCATTGAAACCAGATCAGAAAGTACAGTTTGTGGAGTACACAAAGAGTTGTTCCGTGCCGGAATCCACGTTAAACATAGGTTGTTTGTGAGTGGCGTTCTCCATTTTACCCTACATCGCCGCTTACAACCAGGCGAGGGGCTGGGCCTCTGGTAACCTCACTCACACGGCGAAACACAACGCTGTGGTTGTTTCACGCTGGTTTTCATGGTATCACTCCGGTCGAGCCGACCCATTCATGCCGAAGCATGACTCTCCCACACTTAGGAAAGTGGCCAAACGCAAATAAATGAAAAAAGAGGTAGTATTTACCTAGCTCCAGCGGCTAGGGACGCTAGCATAGAGTTGAGCTGTCCATGTATATGGTGCAATGGTAATGTATGCAATACCACGTCGTTAGCAGAGTACTGCCACGCGGAGTGCAGCGCAGATATTTGTGTCTGAAGCATATTGTGGGTCCATACTACTCCTTTCGGCTTGCTCGTAGTACCTGGACAAAATAGTAATGGAATAGTTGAGATTTATTTTATAAATTAATATTTTTTAAAATTATTTAACAAATTAATATATGAATAATTATAATAATTTAAAAAACCTATGACTTGATACTATGAAAGAGAAGGAGAGGGAGAGAGAGTGAAGAAGAGTGAGTGGGAGGGGGGAGACGTGAGGGGGAAAGAGAAGAGAGTAAGTGGTACGAGCGGGGGGGGAGGGAGCGAGAGGGATAGAGAGAGAGAGAGAGAGCGAGTGAGCGAGAGAGATAGATAGATAGATCGAGGGGGGAAGTAATACATTTTTCTAGTAAATTCTTCGAAACAAGAAGTATGTTCAAGAACGTTAAAAAATAAAATAAGGTCATAATGTTGACCAAATTCTCAGACAAGTATGTTTTCTGACAAGTACTGTGAATTTTACTAGTTTTAAACTATAAATTTTGGTACACAATAAGCACTTTGGAGGCGTGATCTTATAGTATCAAGCTTAAACTTACCGCTTGTATAAATAATAAGAGCCTCGTTTTTTCCATACCACTCGTTGCTCCTTCCTATATCAGCCAAATTGCTCTCGGCTTTCGGCTTTAAGAATGACGTATTCGGCTGGTACAGTTGTGCAGTTAGGACATTATCCCGTCCCGTAACCAATAGAGGTTTGTTCATCTCGAGCGTGATTGGCCGTAGAACTTTCTCGAATTCTTGCGTACACAGAACTAGACTTGAAAAACTGTCGTTTAAGTAGTATTTTAACATTTCTGGCGGATGCAGGGGCGTTAAGGGAACCGCTGCAAGAAAAAAAAATATACATCTTAGTACATATTATAAGTATGTGCAAAAAGTAATAATACATTAAAAATATCTTTGTTTTTTTAATACCACACTAGGATTTTCCAATTTCACATACACATCACACCCACAATTTGTAGATCGCGGAAGCCACCTCGCCAACCGAGCAGTCAATTGATTAACATTATATGATTACATTAATAAAAATAATACGATGCTATGACTGACTTAAGCGCCAAATATAAAAATACTCCATTATATTTTAGGATTTATTAAAAAAATAAACTGTAAGAGCATAAAATATCGAATTATATAGGGTATAAAATAAAAGCCTCGCTCGTATAACTCGGCATTTTTACAACCATTGAAAAGTACCACCACATCCACCAAACGGGACCGATACTCATCCGGGGTAGCGGGGCAAGCGCAATAAGGTACAGCGGCCTCGGCCTGGAGCTGCAGGAATAACGGGGTGGTTTTTAGGCAGTAAGTCTGACAGTCCCTCTCGTCTCACCCTGGGCGAGAGAGGAAGACATTTGATGATTTTCCCCTCATAAAAAACCATTGACAAGTAAATATAAAAAAGTCGTGGTGGCCCGGGGGTTAAGGCACCCGCTTCTCATGCATGAGGGTGCGGGTTCGAATCCTGGCAAGTACCAATGTGACTTTTTCCAAGTTATATGTACTTTCTATGATTATTTACACACCACTGACATACGGTGAAGGTAAACATCGTGAGGAAACCTGGACTTATAATTTCTAATTATAAGTTTGAAATCGCCAACCCGCATTGAGCAAGCGTGGTGATTAATGCTCAAACCTTCTCCGTGTCAGAAGAGGCCTTTGCTCAGCAGTGGGCACTTATAGGCTGACGATGACGAAGTAAATACAGTACATCTGCTTGCCTTCGAAGAGAAAACAGTGTTTCATAGTATTTTTATAAAGACTGACTTTTCATACTGACTGAACAAATATCCAGTCTAACATGTATACGTTAATTACATGTCCACGAAAATAGGTATTAACACTTAATTGTAAAAAAAAATCTTGTAATAACAAGTTCATAAAAGATTTACCTAATAGTAATAAAAATGTTGATAAAAAAGTATTTTTATGTGGCTTTATGGATTTTCGATATAGAAGGTAGGGTTAGAATTGAACCTATTATTGAACCTTAATCTTACTGAAAAACAAAACGAAAGCGTTGTGCCTCCCTAGTTTTCTGTGAATCCGACGTGCCACTGAACTAAACCATGGCTCTTCCAAGCAAAAAGTTAGTAAAGGTTTGCTAAAACAATAAAATTATAAACCCATACTTAGGATTTCAAATTTCTATATTAAATATTTAAACTTGAAGACTTGATACATCAACATACAGGATTTTATATGTCGATGGAAAATCATCAAAGAGCGTCTGCCGCGCTGGTTGGGGAAAGAGGGAGTGTTAGACTCTTACTGACTTAAACCCACCTCGTTCCTTCCCCTGGCCGCGGTACATGAATGCGCTGATCCGCAACCCCGGGATCATATCGGGACAGTGCCGTCGTTAGGAGGGGTGTGATGGGGGGGGGGGGCGTGATGGCGATGGCCCAGGGCGACAAATTCTGGGGGGCGCCTGGATCTGAAGTTGGAGTCTCTTGCCTCTCCTAGTGCAAACACCCTCAGAACTGTGCTCTACGTTCTGTGCATATGTAATTTTTTTATTTTACTTCGGATCAGATCTAAAATGTAACACTTGATATTGCTGCCCTCAAGTGGGCGCCACGATATTTTCGCTCGGGGTGTCAGTGGCCCTTACGCCGGCACTGTTTCGGGATATTACATACATGATATTAAATTTTGGGATAACTCACCAATGTTGCCAGTCATCCAAATGGCCCACTGCGCAATGATGTGTGACGCATCATTGTTGCACATGTACGCGATCGTCCTCTCAGATTCGCCAACTGAAATAAACGACAAAAAAATCAAATTTAACATTACCTATATAATACTGAAGAGATATGTCTTTTTTTTAATTAACGTTGTATTACAGCATTACAATTTTCCCTTGGTTGTGGATGCGCTCACATACATACAATTTCATATACACATCACACTCAGACCTGGAACAATTTGTTGATAATACTAAGTATTGTCCCAGGCGAGAATCGAACCCGCGACACACAGCAGGCAGTTGCCTAGCAAATTGCGCCAACCGTGCAGACATTAAATTAAATATTAATTTTTGACTTACCCAACTGTGCAGCGATCTCCTGTGACAGCACGGAGGCTGCTTGATAGAGGCCGGCGTACGTGTATATGCCAAGGTCATCTTGTAAGGCTACTCGAGTCGGGAACAATAATGCTCTACGAAACACTGGCACTACACCACCTAGAAAACAATAATGAAAAACTGCTGTGTTTAAGTGGGTTCATAATTTCGATTTCAGACTTTTAACTATAAATTATAAGTCCAGGTTATCTCACAATACTCCTTCATCGAAATACAACCCAAGCGTTACTTTACGCCGGTTTCGTCCCGAGCGTAAGGTGCGTAGCGTTATCGAGCTATTTCTAATGCCTCATTTACATTCAGCCCCTATGGACGGCAAGCGAGGGTCGCCGCCCGACCAAAACCAGACCCGAGCATACGGCGCGTAGCGTTCCGCGCGCGCCTCAAAGAGCCAATAAACCACCATGGACGGGGTCCTAAAGGGCTGATGTTCAGCCGGGGTTGCGGGGTAAGCGCAATAAGGCACCGCGACCTCGGCATAGAGCAGGAGAAGGAACAGGGGGGTTTTTAGTCAGTAAGAGTCTGACACTCCCTCCCGCCCGACCCGGGACGGCGGGAGAAGTCATTTGATAATTTTCCCCTCACAAAAAAAAAGAAAGCCCCTATCGCTGCTCCTCGCGCTGCCTTCTTCTTCTCTAAATACTACGGGCGGCAGGATCGAGGGATATGTGTGTTATATACAGCCCTTACAGACGTTCAAATGTTTGCAGCGTCTGCGCTATGTCTTTTTGAGCGATTGAGCAGAATGTAAACACATCCGATCGCGATGCCGGTCCTTTGAAGTCTCCACTAAAAACCGCACTTTTAGGGAGCGCTGGGCAGCGCGAGTGGAATGACAAGTATAAGTTTACATAGGTACTCGTCCTGCCCACTTTCCTGCTGACTACAGCTGAATATTAATAAGGCATACGATTCTAATGTCGTGCAGTGTCATTTGAGTGTGGGAGAGCCAAGCTTCGGCACGAATGGGTCGACTTGACCGGAGTGATACTACGGCCTCTCAGCAAGCGTCGTCTTTCTGAGAGGCTGTGGAGAAACAACTACAGTGTTCGCCGTGTGAATGAGGTTACCGGAGGCCCAATTTCTCCCCCTCCCTCCCTCCCCCCATCCCTTTCCAATCCTTAAATATCCGAAACCCTTATCCCTAAAAGGCCGGCAACGCATTCGTAACTCCTTAAGTGTTGCCGGTGTCCAGGGGCGGCGCTGATTGCTTACCATCAGGCAACCCGTATGCTCGTTTGCCGACCTATACCATAAAAAAACAATACCTAGAGCGTCACTAATACTACGCAGGTGTGTATTTTAAGATAAATTGTGTTTGACGTTATATCAAAAAGATGAAAGATATCTACCCACGTAAGGGATACCTATTAAATGATATGGATGTCACATGAAAGATAAGTTCATAAGTGCTTGTTATCGCCTGAAACTGTTTTTTTTTCTACATGCAGATTTATTGTGCTAGTATTCATCACTGCGTAGTACTTATAAAACAAAGTCGCTTTTTCTGTCCGTGTGTATGCTTAAATCTTCAAAATTACGCATTGGATTTTGATGCGGTTTTTCAATAGATAGGGTGATTGAAGAGGAAGGTTTATATACATTATACATCTAATAGGGAGAAAATTTAGTTACCTACAGCATTTTTCTAAACAACCGGATGAAAAAAAGCCAATTTAAAAAAAATAATAAACATGCTAAACATGCTAGTAAAATGGGGATAACAATTATCCGATTTTTATATAAAAAAGCAATGTCCGAAAAATCGTATTTATAAAACACTGTGAAAAATGAAAATCGTTAAAGCCGATTTTCATAAAACTTTAGATAAACGGGGGTTTGCGGGGGCGATAACCCAAGGATTCGTTCTTAGAAAATGTTAAAAAATCATTTTCTTTGGTATAGTATGTTATTAGTAGTTCACCAAGTGAACTACTACCAACATACTCTGGGTCGCAAGTGCTATCATTTAGTAGCTTGGCGTCAAGTAGAAGACAACGTCGAGACGAAGTAAAGAACGGAGGGATCTTTTGACACTAAGGACTGTCAGGGAAGTGAGTCATTGGGTGATTTTCCAACTCAAAACGACAATGCCAGCAAACAAATTATCTCCTAATGCTGTTATCACAAAACTTCAGTGTTTACGTCTTCCGATTTAGTTAAAACTGATATATTTTTAAAAACATACAAACACTGATAACAACTTACCTAACAGATAAAATACTTTACAATTTACGTAATACAAACATAGCTAAATACTACTACATAGCTGTTACAGGTTGTTTTGCTCATCACAATTTTTTTTATCTTCCCCTATAGTGACTACCCCTAGATGTGAACAAGATTCTACTTATATAAAAAGCAGATGTTTGTGAGGTTGTATGTATGTTTGGTAGATGTCTAAGCGAAAACAATTGAACAGATCTGAATGAAATTTGGCATAAAGATAGATTTTAGTTTGGAATAATAGATAGGTACCTAGCCTGGTACAGGGAGCGAAACAGCTGACAAGATATTTGGAACATAAAATTACCAGTCTGCTTCCGACCACAACCTGTGCAACTAGGTCGAAACATCAAACAATTACTTTTCGCATAAATATATGTTGTATGTTAGATATTTGGACTATAACAAATAGAGCCGAAACAAGAACAGAGTAAAGAAGAAGGCGGTTGATATTTTTATTCATGTTATGGATGTCATAATGCAGTAAAGATAAAAATATTTATCTAAGCCTCAGCTAATAATATAGCATTACAAGAATTTAATAAAAGAATATTACAAAGAAAATGAAAGTGACCATCTATGTTGTTTGATTTCATATTATTGATAATTATTTGTTCTATATTGGAGCAAACTAGGGTCTTCTGTTGTGTCATATCACCCCCCAAAAATTAAAACAAACAGAGACCCAGAACCCAGACCCAGGACCAGAATTTGTGGTTGAATTTAAATATTGTATTAAAACATTGTACGCAACATCCAGGACATTTGATTATTGAAAAAAAAACATAAAACGTTATTAGTAGTTCACCAAGTGAACTACTACCAACATACTCTGGGTCGCAAGTGCTATCATTTAGTAGCTTGGCGTCAAGTAGAAGACAACGTCGAGACGAAGTAAAGAACGGAGGGATCTTTTGACACTAAGGACTGTCAGGGAAGTGAGTCATTGGGTGATTTTCCAACTCAAAACGACAATGCCAGCAAACAAATTATCTCCTAATGCTGTTATCACAAAACTTCAGTGTTTACGTCTTCCGATTTAGTTAAAACTGATATATTTTTAAAAACATACAAACACTGATAACAACTTACCTAACAGATAAAATACTTTACAATTTACGTAATACAAACATAGCTAAATACTACTACATAGCTGTTACAGGTTGTTTTGCTCATCACAATTTTTTTTTATCTTCCCCTATAGTGACTACCCCTAGATGTGAACAAGATTCTACTTATATAAAAAGCAGATGTTTGTGAGGTTGTATGTATGTTTGGTAGATGTCTAAGCGAAAACAATTGAACAGATCTGAATGAAATTTGGCATAAAGATAGATTTTAGTTTGGAATAATAGATAGGTACCTAGCCTGGTACAGGGAGCGAAACAGCTGACAAGATATTTGGAACATAAAATTACCAGTCTGCTTCCGACCACAACCTGTGCAACTAGGTCGAAACATCAAACAATTACTTTTCGCATAAATATATGTTGTATGTTAGATATTTGGACTATAACAAATAGAGCCGAAACAAGAACAGAGTAAAGAAGAAGGCGGTTGATATTTTTATTCATGTTATGGATGTCATAATGCAGTAAAGATAAAAATATTTATCTAAGCCTCAGCTAATAATATAGCATTACAAGAATTTAATAAAAGAATATTACAAAGAAAATGAAAGTGACCATCTATGTTGTTTGATTTCATATTAATGATAATTATTTGTTCTATATTGGAGCAAACTAGGGTCTTCTGTTGTGTCATATCACCCCCCAAAAATTAAAACAAACAGAGACCCAGAACCCAGACCCAGGACCAGAATTTGTGGTTCAATTTAAATATTGTATTAAAACATTGTACGCAACATCCAGGACTTTTGATTATTAAAAAAAAAACATAAAACATGCATATTACATACAATTTGTTGTTTAGAGTGCAGTTTAAACGATATGGCGGGTTTGGAATATAAGTTTGCTGTATGTTGAGACAGTCAACATGTTTGTGATATTCACTATGGCACTGATTGCCCTGCTTCAAAGTAACCAATCAATCAGATAGCAAAATGCAGTAACATTTCGTTCATATTAATGTCAAAGTAACTTGCATTCAGCTCTGTGTTTCAGGTCTGAGTAGCATCAATATTATTTTATGCAATAGGGTAATATACAAGATTTGGATGACCAGATTGTAAGCAATAGTTGCAACATCAGGGGAGTTATAATTTCATTGCCAGCCTTTTTGGGGACATTTGCATAATTTGCTTGGTATATGAATTTTATATTTTAACAAAAAATTACTGTATAAACATGGGCTTTGAAAAGGTCTGAAACTTACATTCATAATAAAGAGAAATACTTGAATGTAATAATTCCTTATTAAATAATATCAGGATTTTTGTCTTCATAAAACATCTTAAATTAAAACTGCATTTATGCATTGTTATGATGTAATACCCAGGAATAATTTAAGGTACATTTATTAGTTCATTTTAATTTTAAGTTATAGAAAACGCAAAAGAATAATGTAAGGTATCGGCTACAGCTTAAAAATCAGTGATGGAGGTCATCTAACGGCAAAAGTACTCAAATATTTAAAATAAATGACTGTAAATAATAATAGGTAGGTAAGACATGTAAAGCAAGACCAGTAAAGACCAATATAAACACACGCAGAGTATGATATAGAAAAAGAGCTAAAGAGGTTTTAAATCAGGCAGAATGCCTATTCTGATGTAATACAAATAATGTATGTCGAAATAACTTACCGTTCTTAATGTCCCGGTTAAATACATTCAGTAACTCTGTATTAATTTCTTCCTTTACTGCTGTGCCCGTAACACTTCTATGAGCTAAAATTCCTAAAGGTTTTCGTAAAAGCCGGTTAAAAGTCCTGACGGTACGTAAGCTCAGTTCCATTATAAACTTATTGTACAACAGTCTCTGGATATATTAAGTCAGCCTGGACGTGTCCACCATACAAATAAAAGTAAGATTTGAGCTAAATTTTATAATATTTTTGTGGAAAGATAAGACGAAGACACCAAGATAAAAGGTTATTTTCGAAGTGACAGTCAATTAGACAAACAGCTGACAGATTGACATGTGACACCAGTCACGATGACAAATCAATTGTAAACAGACGTCTGTGACCTCCTTGTTTTAAACCTCTCTAGTTATGGGTAGAATATTTTTTATTATTTATACTTCGAGATTTGTGAGTCTAGAGAGAGCTGAGCTGAGGCTACATTTTGCAATAAACACAGCAGAGGCTGCAATAAAATTCCGGGTGTTGAATAACATACGTATATCAGATCATTATTTTACTTTACTCTTTGTGTCAGATGTTGGTTACAAGTTAAATGACCTAATTTAATATTGTGGCTGAATATAAGTTTGTGAACTTTAGGTTTTGTGATGTCTGTGGCATTTATTATCTTTATTTAACACTGACTTTTTGGCGGGAGTTCAAATATAGCGCATGAAAAGTTTTTTCATTTGTGATTTTTTTTTAATCTAATATTTTATTTCATTGTAAATTGCATGTAAATAGTAAAGTGTACATAATAGTGTATTAAACATGGATGTTGGCGAGGGCGGGGGCCCAAAACCCCCGGCCCCAAAAAAACATAAACTTAAAGACTTGGACGATGGCGGCGGGGGTAAGGAAAGTGATTTTTTACCCTATCTAAAACCCGGATACAAAAGACTTTATCCAGAAAATTCTTCAAATTTGGAGTTCAAAGTTTACGTGCAGGGTGAAAAAATTGGCAATAAAAGTCCAACCTTTTTAAATCATATATTTGTAAATGAGGTAAAAGGTGTAGTAGCGATTCGTAGAATCAATGCTAACAAGATTGCGGTGGTGTTCAAGCAGTATAATACTGCTAATAATTTTATAAGTAACTCTTCATTTCTGGAGAAGTACAACTTTAAGGCGTTCATACCAGCGGCAGACATAGAAAGAACAGGAATTATCCGATACGTACCCACAAACTTATCTAACAAGGAGCTTTACTCAAAGCTAGAGTCGGAGTATGAAATAATTGCAGTCCGACGATTCACCAAAAAGGTTGGACAAGAACGGGTACCACTTCATACAGTGAGCATTACCTTTCTGTCCAGTTCTTTACCACAAAATGTACAATATGACTTATTCTCTTACCGCATTTTTGACTATATCCCTCCTCTACAACAATGTTACCGTTGCTTCAAATTTAACCACTCAGCCAAAATATGTAATGGCAAACAAAAATGTAGCATTTGTGCTGGGGACCACTCATATAGAGAGTGTGATAACCCCTCAGCAATCTGCTGTGCTAATTGCGGTGGACCACATTTAGCAATTTCAAAGGCATGCGAAATCAAGTTAAAAAAGATAATGGAAAAAAAGGAACGTATTACTTACGCTAGTAAGGCTGAAACTAAACTTAATGTGACTCAGGGAGATTTCCCACCATTGCGCAAACCAAGACCTCAGGTCAATGTAAATAAAAATTCTGTTGTAAATAAAAATGTAAATTCTGCACCTATAAATAATGTACCTGTAAATACTGAACCTAAAATAATTTCTGTTGCTGATGTCAAGGCTCAACTCCTGGCAAATAATGACTTACTTAAGGCCATTGTTCGCACACTCATTGTAATCGCCAATAAGGGCAAGGATGATCCTCCAATCAATACAACAACTATTAAAGATATTCTACTGGAGAATCTTACATAATGGATATAGACTCCAATATACAATCTCAGCTATGCATTGCTCAGTTTAATATACAAAGTGTATACAGTAAAAAGCCCTTACTCTTAAAGTTTCTTAATGATAAAAATATTGATATTTGCCTTTTAAATGAAACGTGGATTAAAGATAACAAACCTTTCCACATTCCTGAATATAATATACATTTCAAAAATGCAGCTAATGAACATGGGGGAATAGCTATCCTCATAAAACATAATTTAAAGTATACAACTTCACAAACCACATTTTATGAAGATGTACAAACTGTTGCAATTTCTCTTTCTACAGAGTTAGGTGACTTATCTATTTTGACTGTGTATTGTCCACCACACAGTGGCCATACTAGATTAAACAAATTGAGAAATATCATAAAAGAACTGCCCAAGCCAGTGTTCATTTCAGGAGACTTTAATGCTCATCATATTGCTTTTGGCTGTGTAAGCACCAAGGGCAGAGGGCAGCAACTATATGATATAATTGATGAGTTGGATCTATGCTTGTTGAATGATGGCAGTTTCACAACAAATAATAGGCCTAATTGTAACCCATCAGCTATTGATATCACTTTTACAAGTGCAGTTTTAGCACCACTGTGTGATTGGACTGTACATGATGACAGTATGGGTAGTTATCATTTCCCTACAATTACAAATCTTACTTTAGCTGTTAATAAATATCAAACAAATCCTCCAATAGAGAAATTTTTATACAAAAAAGCAGATTGGGTGAAGTACTGTGAAATATCTGAAACGTTATTTAATGATATCAATGTGGATACTGAGAACCCTTTGAAGTCATATAATACCTTCTGTAATAGACTTAGCTCTTTGAAGTTACTTTGCATCCCAAAGTATACCAAGACTAGTTCATATAGAAGTAGGCCACCAGTGCCATGGTGGAATGAGAAGTGCGAACAAAGCGTCATTAAGTCTTATCAAGCTTTAAAATACTATAGAAGTAATCCTACAATGGATAACTACATTATATATAAGAAGTTAGACGCCTTGAAAAAGAGAACCATATCTGAAGAAAAGAAAAATGGTTGGCGCAATCTCTGTGAGTCTTTTAATAGAAATACTCCTATCAGTAAGATTTGGAACTATATTAAAATGTTTAAGGGTAGGAAAACTCATAATAAATCACTTTCTGATGAATTTGTTTTGCCATTCTTAGATAAACTATCAGATAATGGATCTGATGGTATAGTTGATGTTGATATGTATTTTAATATTAATAATGATAATAATGAGACACAGTTTTTAATTGAACCTTTTACATGGCATGAGTTTAATATGAGTCTTCATTCCCGAAAAAATTCTGCGCCTGGATTGGACAACTTTCCTTATATTTTGATAAAACATTTACATATATTGGTGCAAAAATTGTTTCTGAACATTCTTAATGCACTTTGGCTCCATCAAGTAATTCCACTGTCTTGGAAAACACAATGTGTGATACCAGTGCTTAAACCAGATAAACCAGTCAATGATGCTAACTCATATCGACCTATTTCATTATCATCCTGTCTTGGAAAAATTTTTGAGAACATGGTTAAGATTCGTCTTGATTGGTATGTGGAATCGAAGTGCATTATCCCAACTATTCAATTTGGCTTCAGAAGAGGCAGAAGTTGTGCAGACAGCTTTGTTTCTCTTATCTCAGATCTGAAAAGAGCAAGAAATAATAATGCTAGTGCAGTATGTACCTTTTTAGATGTACAGGGGGCATTTGATAATGTGCAACCTGGTATTTTGATTAAAATTCTGTCTGATTTAGGTATTCCAGGAAAATTTTGTAAATGGATATACTCTTTCTTAAATGAAAGAATACTATATGTAAAACACAATAATATTTTACATGGTCCTAGGCAAGTGTCAAAAGGAACAATGCAAGGGGCAACTTTGTCCCCATTATTATATAATATATATACATCTCAAATTTGTAAATATGTAAATATGGATAATGTAAATATTTTGCAGTTTGCTGATGACCTTGTTGTATATAGTGTACATAATGATATTGATTTGGCAATTGCTAATATTAATAATGCTCTTAGTCAATTATATCACTACTACAACAATAAACTTCGATTAAATATCAATTCCAACAAAAGTAATGTAATGTTTATAACAAAAGATTTACCTAGCTTGTCTGTGTTATACAATGATAAAGCAATTCCTATAGTAAGCAGTCATAAATTTTTAGGTGTGCAAATTGATAATAAACTGACATTCCAAGGTCATATCAAGTACATTTTACAAAATTCTTTGAAAGGCTTAAATATAATGAGGTGTTTGGCAGGAGTCTCCTGGGGAGCTGACCCAGTTACTCTTGCTATTTTGTACAAAGCCATTGTAAGAAGCCATTTTGATTACAGTTGTCTAGCCTATATTGATTGTAATTATGTACATAGATTAGATATAGCACAAAACAAAGGTCTGAGGATAATATCTGGCGCCATGTGCTCAACTCCCATCCGTGCCATGGAAGTTGAGACAGGGGTGATGCCCCTTAGTATAAGAAGATATCTACTTGCTCAAAGATTTTCTGTAAAGCTATTTGCAGCTAATAATAATGAAGTTTTAAGAAGAATTTTACCTCAGTATCCAGTAGTTCACAATGTGTCTGGTGTGACTGGGGCTGGCCTTCACTGTCATATTATCCCAGATTTATCTCAGGTTATCCTGGAAGCACATTTTAAATTTTCGAATATAATTAAAAGTTCTCATTGGGCATGTTACTCCACAAAGTACAAGATATTGTTATTTGAAGTCTCAATTATAAATACAGTAGTTAGTAATAATGAGGAGTTATTAAACTTTATTCACCTTAACAGTCACTATTATAGACTTTATACCGATGGCAGTAAGGGTTTGTCTCATGTTCGCAGTGCTGTTTATGATCCTCAAATTCAGTTTTGTCAAAGCTTTGAGCTTAGTCTTTTATGTAGCATATTCACTGCAGAGGCTTATGCAGTTCTTGAGGCCCTGAAAAAAATTTCATCAATGCATTACACAACCTATTTAATTTTGACTGACTCTTTAAGTGTGATTAAAGCATTAGAGAATATTAATTTTCATTTCAAAACAAATTATCTTTTAATTAAGATTCGAGAAGTTTTATTTAATTTAAAAAATAAAGGCATTTCAGTTTCTTTTATGTGGATCCCTTCACATAAAGGTATTACTGGCAATGAAATCGCTGATAGAGCTGCATTTGATGGGATAAATTGTATAAATGTATCTAATATTGTAAAGGTACCTTTTACGGACTGCTATGCACTGATTAGAGAAAACATAAAACATGTATGGAAAGACTTCTGGAAGAAAGACCAAGAAGAAAAAGGAAAGTGGTACGGTACTATTCAATCGGACTTACCTGTGAGACCGTGGTATGACCAAAAGCAATACAAGTACGCCAGACGAGATTTTATATCTACTATATGCAGGCTTCGATTCGGACATCATAGAACACCCGCACACCTTGCAAGACTCAAACTTGATGCAAATGACAAGTGCTTGAATTGTAACGTCTTATGTGACATTAGTCACATAGTGTTGGTATGCAGTGACTACAACATGCAAAGGTTGATTTTAGCCAGTGAACTAAGTGAAATTGTAGATAATGTTTCCTCCCGCCGCCTAGAAGATCTACTACGTGATCCAAAGTGTTTAGTGCCGTTATACAATTTCATTAAAAATACTCTGGAAAGTATATAATAACATAAAACCGAGTAAATTAAAAGACTTGGCTTAAAGGACTCGTATCCAGGCCATAAACTCCAAAAAAAAAAAAAAAATTATTTAACACTTGACACTCTTGACAGCTCCACGACATTTCTTTCAATGTAGCTTCAGTTTATTTTTCATGCACTGTGATCGTTCGTACTTCTGGTGTCTAGTTTGGTAAATGTGTAATGTTTATGAATAATTGAAAAGTATTATTATAGGCAAAAATGGTAGTAAACGCGCCGGATTCGCCTGTTCAGGCTGAAGTAATTTTTGTGATAGAGGTTACGGCAGCAAACGGCGCGTATATAGGCGAACTTAAAACAAACTATATAATTCCAACATTAGAGTAAGTTTTTTAATATTTATGTAATAAATACTAAGTATATTATATATTTTTTGCAAAAGTGACCCTAAAACTTGCGAGTAAAATGTATTTTAGGCTCACATGGTAAATAGTTATTTGTAAACTTTGTGTCTACCCTTTATATTATTGTATTATTCTTGTTATTGACACCCTCATTATCCAATTTAAATATTTTAATATACATATATTCCAAACTTATCGAAATTGGTTATTAGACAAACTTTAAACATTGTACCAGATAAGAAAGTAAAATAATTTATTAGCCAAAAAAGCTTCATCCTTTGTGTTGTGAGATACGGTCTATATTTTATACATAACTAGTGTATTCATGTAACATCACAACCCTTTTTTATTAATGCACAAAATGCATACAGCTTTATTTAATTACTGTCCTGTTCAAATGACTGGAAAATGTGTTTTTATTTATTTCACAAATGTGGTGTGTGTGTAAACTTGTATGTTTATAAACATCTACAACACACAATGTACACACACATTAGTGCATAAACATATTTCTTCATTTGTAGAACATTATACCTCTTTTGTTCCACCTGGGGTTGTATTTATTAAACACCCATTTCAATAAGGATATTACCTGTAATAGGCAAAACCTAAGACATCCAAATCAGTAAATGGATAGCTAAACTAAAATTAACCCAATATTGGTAAATATTACAGTCCCACTTGTGCAAATGGCTGGCACGCATGGTTTGTTTCCCCATGGAACTTTGTGTGATCCACAAATTGTTGTTTCGGCTCTGGGTGGCTTGTGTATGTTAATTTGTATGTTAGTAAAAGCACCTACAGGAGAAAATCCTAGCTATATATCCTAATACACATTGTCATTATTTCTTTTTATTTTAGATATTTCCATGGAGGTGCTTTAGAAGAAGGAGGTGGTAATGGATCGGTTTATGCAATAGTTACGTATAAAACATCTGATGTACACCCTGGCATACCTGTTGGTACCTTCGGACCCTTTACATGTCCTCAAACAGTATTGGAGACCGTTGACAAAATTCAGTAAGTTGATCTAATACCTTATTTCCTCTTATGATTATGTAACAAACTCATTTCACCAAAGTGTGAAGTAAGCAGGTTCAAAGCCTGTTAAGTACTGTGACTGTTCAAATATATAAAATTGTACTTTAAGTTTGTACTTTCGACGATCATTCAAACACCAAGAGACTTATTCTCCCCCACGTGATCCCTAATCTCCCAATCCCCAATTCTCAAATCTCTACCAACATCTCTACTATAGCCAGTACCTATATGGTGCTGATTACTTACCATCAGGTTATGTGGCTACTTGTTTGCCACCTTATTCCATAAAAAACTGACATCTGGTTTAAGTATGAAGCAAGCAATGAGGTGCTGAAGATGTTGAAGACTCATATTACCGACTTGATACTCCCGCGCGACTTCACTCGCTGCTCGGCTCTATTTGATAGTAGCCTGATGTTTTATAGCCTATAGCACGCGCGAACATTGTAGCTATCAATAAGTGAAAGAATTTTGGGCATCCAACCAGTGATTTCAAAGATTACCCCCTACATACAAACTTACAAATTATAAATTTAAAAAATTACTTTATAATATTAGTATAGATGATAGGCTGGACCCTGGCCACACCAGAGAAACTTCCAAAGTTTTATTAGCCATATGCAGGGGAGGGAGAGTAGGGATTGAGCCTTAACATTTTTCGTTATTTGCCAACCAAACAAGACCTATTGTTATTTATTGAAATAAAACATTTTTCAGGTTTGTTGGAGGTCATATAGAAAGCAGAGCATGTATGACAGAAGCGTTGGCGACGGCGTTAGATTGTTTCGACGACCTTGGCCGCACTGACCTGCCTATGCACTTGTTGCTACTCTGCTGTTCACCGCCCTACTCAGCATATGGCGGAGGCCTGGTACCACCCGGTAAGTCAATATCGTAATTACATACATCTATAATATACAATCAATGCCACTTATCGATGTAATATTATAACTCTTACCGATTTGGCTAATATGGTGGTCTCGAATTATTCGTGGCCTACCAAGGTATTTAATTAATTATTTTCCGCGTTAATACCCGCGTAACTATATGTTGTAAACTTGACTTCCCTGGGCCTGTTCATGGGCTGCTCTGATTGCTTACCATCACCCAGAACCATCTTTTTTTATGGTATAAGTCGGCAAACGAGTAGACGGATTACCTGATGGTAAGCAATCAGCGCCTCCCATGGACACCTGCAACGAATGCGTTGCCTGCCTTTTGGGGATCAGAGTTAGGGGAGTGGGAGGGATTAGGCCTCCGGTAACCTCATCGACACGGCGGAACAACGCTGTGGTTGTTTCACGCCGGTTTTCTGTGCGGCCGTGGTATCACTCCGGTCGAGCCGTCCCATTCGTGCCGAAGCTTGGCTCTCCCACACTTGAACCATCTGATATTTCATTAAAAACAATCATCCAAAATTGTTTCTAATTTCTAGGCGCCCCCGCGACAATGGAGCAAGCGGCGCGTATGTTGGCAGAGCGCGGCGTCCAAGTATCAATAGCGTCAGCTCGCCGCTTCCAACAACTGCATGCGTTGTACGAAAACGCTGGCGGAGAACTACATCAAGCACAACAAAGAAATTATGCTAAGGTATAATCTGAAGCTAGAAAACGGTTTTTAAGCGTAACCAATAATTTCCTTTGATTATCCAAACTAATATTATAAATGTGAAAGTAACTCTGTGTATCAGTCTGTCTTTTCTTGACGCCTAAAGTACTGAACCGATTTCTGTAAAATTTGGTACAGACATAGTTTGGGAATTGAGAAAGGACATAGGATAGTTTTTATACCAAAAATCTTCAGGAAGTCACTATTCCACGCGTACGGAGTCGCCGGCATAAGCTAGTATTTGTTTTTTTTTTATGTAATAATATATGCAAACGAGCAGACGGTTCACCTGATGGTAAGCAAGCAGCGCTACCCATGGACACCCGCAACAGAGGAGTTACGAGTGCGTTGCCGACCTTTCGGCGATTAGGAATTTGGAGATTTAGCTAACCCATTCATGCCGAAGCATGGCTCTTCCACACTTTTGTTCAGTACCATCTTTTTAAATTTATTTTTGACGATTAAAAATCATCAAATATTATGACTTGTGACAAGAGAGAGTGGCAGACCCTTACTGACTAAAAACTACCACTTCTCTTGCTCTAACCTGGGGCCGTGGTACATTTTTGGTCTTAACTCGCTTCACTCAGCTTAAAAACAGCCCTACCGGGCCCCTTCTGTGGTGGTCTCCATCAAATTTACGGCATAAATGGGTCAGCTTTTGCCTCTCTTCTCTTGGGTCAGGTTTTGTCAGGGAAATCATCAAATGACTTCTCCCGCCCAGGGCCGGGCGGGAGGGAGTGTCAGACTCTTACTGACTAAAAACCCCTCTGTTCCTTCTCCTGCTCTGGGCCGAGGTCGCGGTGCCTCATTGCGCTTACCCCGCAATCCCGGCTGTGCCACACCTTAAATATATGTCTTTTTATTGATATTGATTTTGTGAATATCTTACAGGCAACTTTTACTATACATATTATATTTATTTCAACACACTTCCTTATATAGTGGCTCTTATACCATGGCAATTAGGCACATAAAGAGACCTAAAATCAAATCGTGACTATTTCATTAATATTATTATTCACTAATGAGTAATACAGTTTTTTATATATTATTGGTTGAGTTACTCTTACACTGGCGCTAAAATGTTGCCCGCGAAACGCCCAAAAAAGGAAACCTCCTTTTTTTAGTCTATGGCCGATGCGTGCGCATAGGAAAACTGAAAATTATTTCCAGCCATTACGAAACATTTTTTACAAAAACTCGTCTGTTTTTCTCTTTCGATGGTTTTTTGTTTAAGTATTATTTATTTCAGAAGTGCGTTGAAAATCTTCGTATGATACACGTGTGTATTAATAACTAGCTACTCTCGCGCGGTTTCACCCGCTGCCCGACTCCATTTAATCGTAGCGTGATGTTTTATAGCCTATAGCATTCAGGAACATTGAAGCTATCTATCAGTGAAAGAATTTTCGCAATCCGACCAGCGGTTTCAAAGATTACCCCCAACTTACAAACTTACAAATTTTACCTCTTTATAATATTAGTATAGATTACTGTCCTCCATAATGTGATAAGCACCAACTTTACACACTTTTACCATAATGTTCTATTATGTTTCAGGATCCCCGTCACTTGGTGCTGCTACGTGGCTACAGCCTGAAAGAGAGACCTCCAAGCCCCGCACCACCACCGGTTCCCGACATACAAGCTGATGTCTATGGGTATTTTATAATTTTATTATTAAGTAACTTTTACCCGCGGCTTCGCTCCCATTATTTGACTACCTAGTTACCTACGTATACCTATAAAATCATCTGCCATTCAATGACGTTTTGTAAGCGACTTCCACAGAGGACTTAAAAACAATAAATAGTATTAAATACTACATTTCAAATGAATTAAACCTTCTTCCATTTTATAATATATAATATAGATTTTTACTTCGCACGTAAATAACAAAGATGGTATTTTATTTACTTAGCTTAAGTATAATATATTTAAATATAGGCATTAAGTCCGCCTATGTACAAAAGTTTGTGTGCAAAAAGCTTAATAAAAAAAAATATATAAGCTCTTATATAAACGTTCTCATGTGCATGTATAATACTTAAATACATGCCATAAATTTCTTCTAATATTTTAGAAGCATTTTTAGAAAAACGGACGCGGTTATAAACATATAATTTCACATACACACCCAGACCCGCAAAAACAATTTGTGTAACACACAATCAGTTGTTCCATGCGAAAATCGAACCCTCGACACGTTTTATGACAGCCAGTTGCCCAACCACCACACCAAACGTGCAATCAAAATTCTTTATGCAATCTGTATGATATGAAAAATAAACATTTTTTTTTAATTTGTCTTCCAGTCAAGGGCGAGGTCAAGCAGGGCCGGCTCGACCGGGGGCGCCGAACTTCCCTCGGCCCGCGGTCGCCGCCGCCACTGGGGTGGGACCCGTTGGTAATGTGGCGGGAGTACCCGGGGTTGCCGGAGTCGGTCAGTATATATTTTTAATTAATAATTAGTTAATTTGATTGACTAGCTACTGTCATCCGGTTTCACCCGCTGCTCGCCTCCTGTTGGTCGTAGTGTGATGTTTTATAGCATATAGCAGTCAGGAACGTTGTAGCTATCTATCAGTGAAAGAATTTTGAAAATCTGACCGGCGGTTCCAAAGATTACCCCCTACATATAAACTTGCAAATTTTACCTCTTTATATGTTTAAGTGTAGGTGTGGTAACTTCACTTATTATTATTGTTTTAACAGTATCTAGGACATTTTAGTTATCTATGAAGTCTATAACACCTGGTTTACGCACATGACGTGGTGTATCACGCAATTTGTCATACCTTGCTTATAATGTTCGTATGTTTGTGGTCACGCGGGCGATAACGCTGTAATGTACGCCAGCGGGTCTTTTTTGTGTGTGGTTCTTTAACTAAAATTTGTGTTTATTTAATGACTATTTTGTTTACAGGCACGGCCGCATGCGGTCGCGGCGCAGGCAACTGGCTGGCGCCGCCCCGCGGGCCGCTCTACGCCAACAACTCCGCGCTACTCACGCAGCTCGCGCAGCCCTCCTACCCGCCCCCGCCGCCCCCTCCCGCGCAGGTAATGTAATGTTCCCATACTACAACAACTCCGCGCTACTCACGCAGCTCGCGCAGCCCTCCTACCCGCCCCCGCCGCCCCCTCCCGCGCAGGTAATGTAATGTTCCCATACTACAACAACTCCGCGCTACTCACGCAGCTCGCGCAGCCCTCCTACCCGCCCCCGCCGCCCCCTCCCGCGCAGGTAATGTAATGTTCCCATACTACAACAACTCCGCGCTACTCACGCAGCTCGCGCAGCCCTCCTACCCGCCCCCGCCGCCCCCTCCCGCGCAGGTAATGTAATGTTCCCATACTACAACAACTCCGCGCTACTCACGCAGCTCGCGCAGCCCTCCTACCCGCCCCCGCCGCCCCCTCCCGCGCAGGTAATGTAATGTTCCCATACTACAACAACTCCGCGCTACTCACGCAGCTCGCGCAGCCCTCCTACCCGCCCCCGCCGCCCCCTCCCGCGCAGGTAATGTAATGTTCCCATACTACAACAACTCCGCGCTACTCACGCAGCTCGCGCAGCCCTCCTACCCGCCCCCGCCGCCCCCTCCCGCGCAGGTAATGTAATGTTCCCATACTACAACAACTCCGCGCTACTCACGCAGCTCGCGCAGCCCTCCTACCCGCCCCCGCCGCCCCCTCCCGCGCAGGTAATGTAATGTTCCCATACTACAACAACTCCGCGCTACTCACGCAGCTCGCGCAGCCCTCCTACCCGCCCCCGCCGCCCCCTCCCGCGCAGGTAATGTAATGTTCCCATACTACAACAACTCCGCGCTACTCACGCAGCTCGCGCAGCCCTCCTACCCGCCCCCGCCGCCCCCTCCCGCGCAGGTAATGTAATGTTCCCATACTACAACAACTCCGCGCTACTCACGCAGCTCGCTCCTTCTCCGACATTTTTAGTCAGTAAGAGTCTGACACACTCTCCCTCTCTCGCCTTACCCTGGGCGGGAAAAGTCATTTAATGATGTTCCCCTGACCAAAAATAAAACCTTTTTGTTATAACGAGTTACGTGAGTGACATGCATGTTGTATTACAGACTGGTCACCAACGTATGCCGACGATGGTGACCCCGGGCCCGTCCGGTACTCAGCTGCAACGCTCCTACATCTGGAGCGGAGTCATCGAGTGGATGGAAAAGGGGAAGACCGCCGGAGATCAGAAAACTACCAAACATTTGCCATGCCAGGTGATTTTCTACTTTAAATTATTTTTCATATTATTAAGTTCCATATTAGCTTCCGCCCGCGGCTTTGCCCTCTAGGTATGTTGATAAATAGTAGCCCATATCCTATTCCGGAATGTTTCCTATGCCTGTGACAAATTTCATCCAGATCCGTCCAGCCGTTTTGGCGTGATTGAGTAACAAACATCCAAACATCGTAATTTTCGAATTTATAATATAATTTTATTCTTGACAAATCTTCTGATTTATTTCGTTGCGGGATCCAAGACAGTCATTCTAGTCCCTGGCACGCTGGTTGACTTCAGTGTTCCGGTGTTTTCATGGTTGTATCTACTGTAGATCCTGGCTTTCAGGAGTTGCAGCGGTTTTGAGAAGATTTAGCGGGCTTGTCCCAAAGAAATAAAACATAAGGAGTAACGAGCAAAAAACTCCTGGTAAGCCATCAGCGCCGCCCATAGACACCCGCAACACCAAAAGAGTTACGAGTGCGTTGCCGGCCTTTAAGGGATAAGGGTTTCGGATATTTAAGAAATAGGGAGGGATTGGGCCTCCAGTAACCTCACTCACACAGCGAAACACAACGCTGTGGTTGTTTCACGCCGGTTTCTTATGAGGCCGTGGTATCACTCCGGTCGAGCAGACCCATTTGACGTGAAGCAACACTTACGTTAGATTTCGCCGTGTGAGTGAGATTGCCTGAGGTCCAATTCTATCCCCCTCCCCCGTCCCTAATCCTCAAATCCCCTATTCTTACTCCCTAACAACCCATAAGAGGCCGGCAACGCACTTATAGCAACTACTCTTATAGTAACTTCCCTTTGGTACTAAGAGTGTCCATGGGCGACGCTGATTGCTTACCATCAGGTAATTCATCTGCTCTCTAACAGACCTGTGACATGAAAATAAATATGTAAATAAATGTACGCAGGTATCAGCAAGCACGAAGGACATAGAGCCTGAGCTGAAGGTGGACACGTGGCCGAGTAAGCTGCTGATGCAGCTGATGCCGAAGCAGTTGATCAGCAACATCGGCGGGCAGTACCTCAAGGACAGCAAGTCGGTGCTATTCCACCTACAGCCCAGTGAAGCTCTGGACTCCTTGACCAAGGTCATGGTCAACGGCTTTGTGAGTACATTTTTCTTTATATTTTTATACAGAACGTAAACTGTTATTAATATAAATTAGCAGAGTGGGTCTGCTAATTTATATTAATAACAGTCCCATTATAGTATTTGGTTGTTTCTTTTGGTTGAATGAGTTGTATGTTGTACCCGTAAGACATATATTTTTTGTAACAGTAAGGCAAACGAGCATTCTTATTACCTGACGGTAAGCAAAAGGCGCCGTCCACATTCACCAGAGTTCCCCATTTAGGGTTGTTAGGAATTTGAGGATTGGAGGAAGTTAAGGATTAGGCCTCCGGTAACTTCACGCACACGGAACACTACACACTACTATGGTTGTTTCACAGTGGTTCTCCGTAAGTCGACTTGGGCCGACCCATTACTGCAAAAGCTCGCTCTTCCACACTTAACAAAATTATATTATACTAGCTTTTTCCAAGCGCTTTGCCCGCGTAGTATTAGGGTTGTCCTTTCCGGAATATAAAGTAACCTATGTCCTATTTTGGAGTGTATCCTATGCCTGTGCCAAATTCCATCCAGGTGATTTTGACTGTTCGGTTGGTGCGGTGGCTGGGAAACTGGCTGCCGTGCAACGTGTCGCGGGTTCGATTTCCGCACGGAACAACTATTTGTGTGATCCGCAAAATGTTGTTCCGGGTCTGGGTATCATGTCTATGTAAAATTGTACGTTTGTAACCGCACCCGACACAGGAGAAAATCCTAGTGTGGAGCAATGTTTTTTTTTAATATGATCTGTCCAGCAATTTTTCGTGATTGAGCAACAAACATCCGAACATCGTAACTTTCGCATTTATAATATTATTGTTTTATGTTTCAGGCGGGTTGTGTACACTTCTCCCCAATGCCGACACCACCGCAGTGTGACATCAAAGTATTAATATTGTTATACACTCCGGATAAAAAGGCCTACCTTGGCTTCATACCCAACAATCAAGCTACATTCGTCGATCGACTTAGAAAAGTGAGTAAATTAATACGTTATTTTCAACACACTTCCTCATAAAGTGGCACTTATCCCACGACAATTAGGCACGTAATGACACCTATAATCAAACTGAACTTTTCATTACTATCATTGACTAGTGAGTAAGAGTTATTTTTTTATTGCTTGTGTAATTTGTTTTACTCTCACACTGGCTCTAAAATATAATCCGCGAAAAGCTCAAAAAAAAGAAACAATTTTTTTTTATCTATGGCCGATGCGTGCGCTTTGGTTAACTGAATCATTTTTCCCGCCATTACGAAACATTTTTCACAACTAGTCTCGTTTTTCATTTAAGATTTATTTCATTCGGAAATGTGTTGAAAAACGTCATACGATACACGTGTGTATTGATTGTAATCACCAATATTACACACTTGAACCATAATGTGCTATTGTATGGTTTTATGTTTGTAGGTGATTCAACAGCAAAAGATCAGTCAGATCATCAACAAACAGCAGTTACCAGCCGCCGTCAGCAACGCTGGGGGCATGGCGCAAAATATGCCAAACGCCACCATGGCCGGTAAGCAGAAATACATTCTTTTTTTGTGATATGTCGGCAAATAGCCTGACGGATTACCTGATGGTAAGCAATCAGCGCCGCCCATGGACACTAATAACAAAGGTCTTTGAGTGCAATGCCAACCTTTTGGGGTTTAGGCATCTAGAGATTACTGGCATTCGGGAGGGATTGGGTCTCCGTTACCCTCACTCACGCGGCGAAACACAACGCTGTGGTTGTTTCACGCCGGTATTTCTGTGAGGCCGTGGTATCACTCCGTCGAGCCGACCCATTCGTGTCGAAGCATGGCTCTCCCCAACTTATAATTTGCGTCTAATGATTAAAATTAAAATTGCGTCCTAGGTTCTGGTGCAATGCCGACCGCAGGAATGTCGTCAGGTGGGATGGGGTCGGGTATGTCCGCGGGCATGCAGTCTGTGCCCGTGGGCAACGTGCCAGGCGTGGGCAACGTGGGCAACGTGGGACAAATGTCTGGGCCTGGACCGAGCCAGGGTATGGTGCAGTCACAGATGCAACAACACCCACAGGTAACTTATTGTGAAGTTTTCTTCAGTATTTAATTTTAGAGCTAGTATTTAATAAGTAATTATCAACTTTATTAATAGTGTTAGCAACCGGACTAAGGACCTCTGGTTCGAAACCTAGTATTTTCTGTTCAAGGAGTGAGGAATCTTTGTCATTTCTTTTCATGTTTGGATTGAAAACGAACGAATGAGAAACTTTAGCAGCATTTATTTTTATAATCACCTTTAAAGAGATCGGAATGTAATGTTTACACAATCAACTAATGGATATAAGCCAGTTAAAATAAAAAATATCGTGTGCGAAAAAAGAAACAACTTTATACTAAAACAACTGGGGTTATAAGCCCCGTGTTACCTCGAAACTAATCGGGTCATGCTTCAAATTTTTTATTGTTCATTTTTACTCTCTACTCTTTTCCAGGGCATGATGATAGGCGGTGCAATAGGGCAACAGGTACAACAGGTGGGTGGCAAAGGACCCCGGCCGGTTACCCAATTGGATGGCCTTGAGGCCGCTCGCCAGCAGAACTTGGAGAAAATACAACATCTACAACAGACCCTGGAGGCGGCTCATCAACAGGAAGCTCAGTTCAAGTCGCAGATGGACATCATGTCCCACCTACATGCAGCCCAACAGCAGGAACAGCATTATAAACAGCTCGAGGTGAGGATCTTACAGCATATAGCATTCTACCGTCACTCGTAAGTGATAAAATAGCATATACTAGCTTCCGCCCGCAGCTTCGCCCGCGTGTTATGTTGATAAAAAGTAGCCTCTGTCCTATTCCGGAGTGTATCCTATGCCCGTGCCAAATTTGATTCAGATTCGTCCAGCCGTTTTGGCGTGATTGAGTAACAAACATCGAAACATCGTAACTTTCGCATTTATAATATTAGTAAGATGTATGCGCACTCTTTACATGAGCGAGCGATGCTACAGCGCAGGGCTAGCCTGACGGAAGCAATACCATGGCCTCACAGAAAACCGTCTTAAAAAATATAACACTCCTTTTTTGGGCATTTCGTGTCACTGTTTGAGGCTTTCAGAGATATCTCCTCATATTGCGTGCCATTGCAAGGAGGACTGCCTTCTGTATCAGGCCCTCGATTAATCCACCTAATCCCAGACTCCTTGGATAGTCGTTGACGCTTATTATTATGTATGTCTTTACCAAAGACGAGCATCATCATCATTATTTCACTTGATTGAAAAGTAACATTTTGAAATCTATACATACAAAAATCAATGCTACCTTTCGTTGTAACTCAACAATGCCTTTACCGATTTGATTATGAATTAATCGTGGAAGTCCAGATAAGGTTTGCACGTAGAAAAAATAAAAAAAAACATCTTGAAAAAGTGTAAAATCGACATCAAAGTGGGCGGAGCCTAGTATTACAATAAAATAATACCTTAGAAATACATTTAATATTATTATTATTTGTAGGAGCAACGCAAACACCAGTTGCAACAACAGCTACAGCAACAGTTGCGTGGTGCAGGTGGCGCCGCCCACCCTCCGCGCATCATCAGGCCCCTGCTGCCTTCCAACCCTGGACTGCGACATCTGCTGCAGCAGGTAAGTGGCATTACTAGGGATACCAGTTAGCGCGGGTCTGCGGACGGCGAGTAAGGGTAGCTAAAAAAATAACAAAGTAAAATTAAAAAATAACTTTAGTTGATTCAGAATAGTCTCTCTTTGGAGAGGCGTTAATATAAAAATATTATATTAATTTCTCCCAAACTCTTTCTCTATCTTCTACTCTTATCTTATCTTACGCATAGTCTTATTAATCTTAAACACCTTAGTTGTGCGATATCCAAACTACAATGTGACTAATGTTTTTTAAAATAATGCTACATATTATCTATCTCACTTGTTTTTTGTTTTTCTTTATTGTATTTTTTCATTTCGAAAAATTGAGTGATATTGTATGTTTGGGTATAAAAATGTTTAGTTTTAGATTTTTGAATAGTTATCAATCGAGTTTCACGTTTGAGATGGGTTGAACTGTTTCTAATTTGTTTTCCATTAGTGACCCGCCCCAACTTCATCATCTTCGGGTGCAATGGTGATACTTGATTTGTACACATTTCAATGGATGTTATAGGGACAGAGAACGCGACTTTGTTTTATACTATGTAGTTATATAATTTTCCCTATCAATGTCAGGCGTTTACCTGCTCACTTTCTCGGTCTCCCTCTCTCTGTCTCCCTCTCTCTTTCTCTGTCTCCCCGTCTCCCTCACTCTCTCTCTCTCTTTCCCTGGCTGTCCCCATATCCCCCCCTCTCCCCTTCTCTCCCCCCTCTCTCCCCCTCTCCCCCCCTCTCTCTCTCGCTCTCTGTGTCTGTCTGTCTCAATGCGAATCAAAGATCGCAAATCTTACATTAAAAAAGAAGAAATGATCATATTGAACAATGATCACAATATTTGCTCAAGGCCGATTGGCGGTTTCAAAGTTATTATAGATAATATGGATAAACAATTCAGCCCATCTTAATTCATACTGTAAATAATCAATCATGACACCATTTCAGATGTAACAATTTACCGCTTCCTCATCATTTCAGCTTGTCACATGTCTTTCTCTTACTAGAGCGGTTTAAAGAGTTCATTTGTGACTTATAAGGGAATAATGTATATGTTATTTATTTTTAATTAGGTATTTTTCTGTCCAAATGGCTTAATAATACCTTTAGCTTATTTAGCTGCTAGCGGCCTTACTAGCCCCAAATTTAAAACACAAAAATCATATAATACAAAGTCAAAATTATAACGTGAAAGTCGAAAAAAATTGACATCTTTAAATTAAGGGCTGATTTTTCAATGGTTAGATAAAAGTTACCTGGGAAATAAGTAGTGACGTCAGAATGTTTGCATAAGACAGTGACGGCAACAATTTTATTCTTCAGATAACATTTATTCAGACTCCCCAAAAACGGCAAAAGCGTCTGCATCTCCTTTAGTGCCACAAATGTTCAAGTGACGCGCATTGCTGACCATTAATTTTGAATCCATTAAGACAATGATATATTATTGAAACTCTCTCCTGTTTGCCTTATTTTGCTGTGCCCTACAGGGTCCATAATTGATCTCACACAAATTGTTACCACCTTTAAATGTACTTATGGAAAAGCAATAAAGATATTGAGTATTGAAAAATCAGTTCTAAAACGTAAAGAAAATATCGCTCGATAACCTACATTGAATGAATGTCTGTCACAATGAACTCGAGATTACGTTAGTCGGGAATGTTTTAGCAACAGCAGCAGCCGCGTGGGCCGCGCCCCCACATGTGAGGCGCACGCGCCCCCGCGCCCCCGCGCCCCCGCCCTCACCTCGCATCATTCCCCGCACGCACACTATACGCTCGCACAAGTAATGCTTTACCAACCTTTTCTTTACTAATTTTACGTGGTTTTGTGACATGGTTTTTTTAAATATAAATAAATTATGCATATCTCTTTCTTGATTCATTAAAAGTGAACCGACTAAATGATGTAACAAAGAAATGAATTGTAAAACTGATTGAAAAAGAGTAACCATGGAGTTTCTTGCTCGTTCTTCTCCATAGGAATCTACACTTTGGAACGAGCAAATAGCTCCACTAAGAGGACTGACCGACACACTGACACTTTATATCTTTAAAATTTTGTTTGACGTTCAAAAGTGCCCACTGTGGCCTAATTGACATAAATGATTTTGACTTGACTTGTGACTTTTTATATCGTTAATTTTACATCATCATTCATTAGCCTATAAGTGCCGACTGCTGAGCAAAGGCCTCTTCTCACGAAGAAGTTTTGAGTATTAATATTCACCCTTGCTCAAAGCGGATTGACGATTTCAAACTCATAATTAAAAATTATAAGTCCAGGTTTCATGACGATGTTTTCCTTCACCGTTAATCTCGTTTCGATATTACATTTTTAACACAAAGTATTGTATCTATAAAGTTTATATAATCCTAATTGGAAATTGTTTTATGGATTTGATGTAGTCATTTAAAAAAATAATATAATATAAAATAGCTATATAACCAAATCAATTATTTTGTCTAAAAACTTTCGAGATCCTAAAAAAGATTAATTAAATTACATTATACACATGTCACCAAACCACTATTTATGTTGCATGCTGTCATTAATTTTCTTTACTCATTATAACAAAATCTTTTTCATTAAATATTTCATTAAGTTTAAATACTTACATTCCATATTTATGTTCAAAGGGGGTAATGACAAAATGTTTTTTTCTGTATTTGTTTGGACGGATTTTTCATCATCTGTTAATTACCGAAGTAATCGTTGATCTGTTGTAGCAACTAATATGGTTGAAATTAAACCACTTAAGTATGCTTGAACTGCTGGTTCGTATATTTGAACTATGAAATGTGAACTAAGTGATCTATGAATTCGAACCCTAAATACAAAAGAAATTACACACTTATACTATTTGTTGTAACGAAACCATAGCTCGCTTTTAATTGCGCAACGCCATCTATAGTCAGACTTTTAATTCGATTCCTGATTTGACATTGACCACTGTCATTTTGTGAAATAATGATACCACATATAACAGTGTAGTGATGAACACAAAAATCGATAAACAATCAGTGAATCAGTTTCAGGAAGGCATTCAAAAAATTACGGCTTCCGAATGGTCCAAATGTGTATCCCATGTTTTCAAAGAAGAGGAAAAAATGAGTAAGCTAGATATGTTAATTGACAATAAATATCAAAGACACAATTCATAATAAATGTTACATAGAGTAACGGCGATAGCGATACCGATGACGACGACAATTTATAAAATGTCTGTTTTATTTGTCACGTTCCTTCATGATCACATTTTTTATTAATTTCGCACACAATTACAAAAGAAAAGTCTCAGATCGTTAATTAATTGTCAAAACTAAATTATCGGTTCAGAAATATTTTATTTCCTGATAAACTTAGTTTACGAGAGTAAATTTATAAACGAGAGGAATCGATTCAGAAATATTCGATCTCCATATCGATTAATTTCGCAACGTCACTATTTATTACGTGTCATAATGTTGCAACACTGAAATTGTCAAATCTGGAATGGAATTAAAATTCCGAGTATAGTTGCAAAATTTGAACTAAAAATATTTAATATAATTATTATGGTTTCGTTACTTTGTCCTGGGTTTTGGTCTTCAACATCATCCTTATTAGTTTCCTAGCTACTCTCACGCGGTTTCACTCACTGCTTGGCTACTATAGATTGTAGCGTGATGTTTTATAGCCTTTAGCACTCATAAAAATTGTAGCTGTTTATTAGTGAAAGAATTTTGGAAATCCGACCAGCGGTTCCAAATATTACCCCCTACATTAAAAACTTACAAATAACAAGTTCTAACTCTTTATATTATTATTAGTATAGATAAATTAGCTCATAAATTGTAATGTGAATATTTTTCGTTATTTTTTTCTTTATAAAGAGCGGGTTAGGTGACAGTCTCCTTTAAGGTAAGTATGCTAAAAAGTGTGTAAAATACCAAGCTGTTTCGGAACTGTTTTGAGTATGATCTTTCCGTACACCGAACGGCCAGAGCGCCTAGTTTTAAAATAAAAACGTTTATGCTTTTAGCTCTCTGATTGGTTCTTCGACTTGGACCAGACCAATCAGAGCGCCGAACGTCATAAAATGGCGATCGCCTTAAAGCAAAGCAAACTCGCACTAGACACTTACTGGTTTTGCGTTGTTCTATGTGTATGACTTTGAATTATGACCCACTGACTTTTTTTTACTTTGTCTTTTACCTTTGAGTTTGTTCCATTATTTCTTTTCAGAGTAGTCTGATAGGATGTTCCAGCCTAATTTTAATAAAATATTGACGATTACAAGAACTGTTTTGTAGCCTCCTGACATGAATAAAGTCGTATTAGGAAATGTATAAATGTACAAATTAGATCATTAATTAAATGGTATTTTAATATCATAAAAAAATCTTACAGTGGATCATAATTCAAGTTCTTCACAATAAGTTATTTTAATATTAATAATATTAATTTTTGAATAGTCATTTAAAAATGGTCTCTTTTGTATTATGGGAGTAAGAATCGTAATGCCTCGACTGCATACATATTTTATACCTGTACTGTACACATCACAATATTAAATCATGTTTCTGTAACTAGCAGCCGCAATACAGACCGGGGGGCGGAGCACCCAGGCCGGCGTCGCAGCCCCAGCAGTTTGATGACGTTAACAATTATTCCGACTTCATATAGACCTCGACACCGCATGTGTGGGCTACTTTTGATGATATTGATTGATTCTGCTAATTATAAAGAACCCGCTAAGCCGTTATACAAAAGTAACTTATTGTTTTGGTCTTCATTGGATATCAATTTTTGGTTACAACGTGAATCTCAATATGTATTGTTATATTTTCAGATAGGCTGTTCATATAATTATACATTTGTACACAAAATATAAAATTTAAATTTTAAGTTGAAATAATTGTATTTTCTTAACGATGTCAAGCAAATCCCCCACACATGCATTTAATAGAATCTAACATTATGAAGTTTTTATAAATAAAAAAAAAACAAAAAGAAAACAGATTTTTTGTCTGTACTGGGTTACTTTGCTTTGCGGTATAGACGCTACAATATTATTGTACTCTGTTCATTTTAGACAAAAATATAGTTCATAGATGCTATTCGATTGAATACTAACTCCTGCCACGCGGTTTCACCCGCAGCTAGGCTCCTATTAATCGTAGGGTGATGTTTTACACCTTATAGCACTCAGGAATATTCGAAATTTCATAGTATAGGAATAAGTGAAAGAATTTTGGAAATTCGGCTAGCGACTCCAAAGATTTCCCCCTACATACAAACTTACATATTATACCTCTTTGTAATATAAGTAGAGAAATAGATATTTTTATGCAATAATATAATTGTTCTATCGATATTTTATTAATTTTTTTCATCATAAGCTATCTTTCTCTTTTATATTTCGAAAATTTTATTACTTTATTTAAATACATTTATCTTCCTTACATTTGTCATTGTGTCCATCGGTTTTTCTCGTTGATATATATAGTTATATTTATTTATTTGAGACTTCATGCATAAAACACTGTACATAGGCGGAATGCAATAAGCATTCTCTACCAGTCTACCTTTGGGTGATGCAGAGATAATCTAGTGTCAGGTGCAAGAAGCAAGCAAATTCAATTCAATTCAATTTATGATTTTAATATTCTAATAAGGAATAAAGTTCCTAAAGATTGAACGTAAAAAAAGAAAACTGGATTGTTTTAATAATACTTTTTAATACTTACAAGAATTCTGTTATGTTTAAGTACCTAATAACAACACCCCGTTTTAAGTCTTAAAATGAGCAGAGTACACGAATTTCGTCATGTAAAATAATTCCAAATAATTATGTATGTTTATAAATATAAAATATAATTCTGCAATCAAATGAATTATATGAATCTATTGTATTATTGTAATTTTCCTACTTGTATAGTTATATATATAATTATATAATTAATAAATATGTGACTGATAGATTAATTCGTTTTAGCTATACGTATATCACGAAGGCGTGAGATTTTGTACAGTATTTGTACATATTGTTACAGTGGAATAACCTCTTATTTTTAAGATACTGGTCGTTTTTTTGTTCTATAATAAAACTTAACTATGTCTTTCTGTAATACCTACTAGTATGTATTAGTATTTAAAACGTCTAGAAAAGAGATTGAGTACGCATTTTTTTGTTTCAATTTTAGATAAAGTTACCTCGCTTTTATCTCCGGCTATATTTGTTTACGGCTAGCAGCCATAATAGTGTATATTTGAAGATTTTTCTAATAAAATTATAGCTGCAGACTTATCATTCATTTGTCATCTGTGCAGTTGTGAAATTAGCGTACGTCAATTTTGACATTATGTCAATGGCAATACTTGATTTGCTTTTCCAGTTATTTACTTATTGCAACCCATTATAGTCTATTTTTAGCTTATTTTATAGTGTTGGTGTAATACTGCATTGTTTCTTCTAGTAAAATAAAGTATATTGACCAGTGTTTTCTAAATACGAGATCTATGACAAATTATTTTCATTATCGTTGTAATTGACTCAGTAATGTAATGAATATAAATATTATACATAAGAAATAAATGATTGTTTTTAAGTACAAATGTGTTCTTTTTTTGTTTTATTTTCCTTTTTTATTAGACAAATTAAAGGATTGAAGTAGGGAATAAATAATATTTTTTTTTTATGATAGGTTGGCAAACGAGCAGACGGATTACCTGATGGTAAGCAATCAGCGCCGCCCATGAGCACCCGCAACGGAGGATTTACGAGTGCGTTGCCGACCTTTTAGGGATTAGGGATTTGGAGATTTAGGGATTGAGGAGGGATTGGGGGAGGGTAAGGATTGGGCCTCCGGTAAAATAAGAAAGAGAAGAATAATAGTTACGGTTTTTTTTTCTAACTAGTTCCCATAGGCCAGTAATTTGAGGTCTTTTTTTATTTCCCTAATGGACAGGCATTTAGCCGCTTTCACGCCTGGAGGTAACCGATAATGTGTCCTACGACTACGATCTTTTTGTTCAATCAACAATGGAATGTCTAATAACTTGACACCGGCTAACTTTCTATTGTAAAGCAGGTTCACACTACACTACCGTCGTATCTTATATTTTATTATCTCATTAATTGAGGGCAAAATATTTTCTGATTCAGCCAGTGTCAAATGCCAAATAAATGATCTCAATATAAAATCTTCTAATTAAGGTCGATTTTTACTATAGTCCTATTTAATGTTTTTCCTCATTTCTGGCTATTTTCTTAGCTTTCTCTGAGCAGACTTTACCTACAAATAATACCCTAAAAATAACAATGATTGGGCGACCGGCTGTTAAGCAGCATCTAGTTCAACAGGTTAGATGCCCACATAGAACAATGCTTTCAACGACTGCTCACGACCCGTCCATCCCCTGGATTACACCACTGGGTTGGCTCTTTCAAGCCGTAAAGGGCATGAGACCACCTCATACGCACACAATAGGGCAGATATACAACCAGTTTGCGAGTGCAAGAGCCCGGAGCACAGCAGGAGAAGGAACGGGGTGGGTTTTAGTCAGTAAGAGTCAGACACTCCCTCATGCCCCACCTAGAGCAGGAGAATTTATTGATTCTTCCTCTCAAAAACAACCCTATCATGAAAAAGTCAGCATATTTAGTACCGGGCACTACATCGGTGGTACAACTTTGTAGTTAATAGATGGTAGTGTGTCCTTGGACAATCTCGACTTAGGCAATAAATAAAACACATGAAATATAAAATATTTCCTTATATATTAAGTATTTGTTTTCGAATTAAGTATACAAAGAATACAAACACGCTAGCAGTCTACATAGAGTTTTGGTATAAAACTGTGGCACTAATACATACACACATTTCCAAGGAGAATCTTGATCTACGAGAATCATTCCTTATCTCTATAGAAATAAGGATCTAAGTCAAATTTACCAATGGATTAAACACTAGTTATTCGCTAAATAAATCAAAATTGAACTTTATCACAATTCAAATAAGACGCAAAATAAGTTTTGTCTTTGTAAGTAAAGGTTGAACTGCAAGATCATTAGTTGAAAAAATGTACATAACATTTATGGCAATCGATTTTGAGTTTTATTCTTTTACAATAAGCTAGACAGAAAAAGCAGATAATAAAAGCAATTTCATTCTTATATCAGGGGCAATCAGGCTCAAAATCGATTGACAAAGCTCGTTCATTTCTATTGTTAGTCAAAATACAAAACTTGCATTTCAAGAAACTATATTAATTAAAAAATATTTGTTTTATACAACATTAATTTTACTGTATTACAACATCCCATCTAAAGAAATATGAACCTAACGCCGCTTGCAATACGGTTGTAAACTGCATTGTATTACATAATTACTAATAATAATATTTTATTTATTCTATTACACAATCGGCCTATAACTAGATGACACTGATTCAGACTTGATATAAAAGATATTTTAACATTCATTCGAAATTCAAAAAAATCTCACTAAATTATACTAAAAGGTAAACTATGAAATAGACAATCAGGCGAGAATAGTTTGCTATTGAAATTTCGACCTTATGGGAAAAGGAAATACGTATCATTTAATAAAATGTTTATGTTAAAACTTAAAAGTAGCTCTGCTCATTGAAGAGTTATAAGCGCTTTTCCGTCCTTGGACGGTTTTCTCAGAACCTACCATTATTTTTTGTAACTTCTAACTGGTATTTTATCAATCCTGATTATTTATTCCTTAGTATATTCTTAAATAATTATTTCTTCATTGTGACTATAAACTATTATGAACCTATTTCATTAGAATATGGTGGTTTTACGACCAGGTCGCGCAACCGTTGGGGATCGTACGACCAATAAGGGTAGTTCGCTATTCGACCAGAACTAGACACGAGCGCCACAAAAAATACTATTAGGGCCGACAACTAGCCGGAGTTGGACCTGGATCTTAATGTGGGACAGCGGAAAAAAAAATAGCGAAATTCTATGAGCGATAGCGAGATTCCTTTTCATACAATTGTACACGTCCTTTTGGTAGCGAGACCAGGTTTGTAACAGAACTGACTACCGTATTCCAATTAATAAAAGGCTCTTAAATACAAAAAACCTACAATGTTGATCTAAACTATACTAAAAATGCTAAATTTGTATCGCGGTCAAATTCAAATACAACTATGCAAAAACAAAAAATGCAGTATTGGACATTCGAAATGCTAATTAAATAGGTTAAGCACACGTTTAGGTTAGCAGCGGGAATTTTATATAACCTATATCCCGGGGAATTATATTGTATTTTTTTCTATACCTATAGTATTTTTTTCTTGATTTTCTTGAGTTAAAGGTGCATTTGCTTTTACTAAATAACATACATACATTTTTTTTTTGCAGTGGGATAAAGTTATATAAAATACAGTCAGCGTCAAACATATAGGGACATTCAGGGTAGTCATTTATACAGACGCACGCAAACCACAAAAATGGTATTTATGACGCTATGCGTGTATTTATATGGTGACTATTATATTGGACTTGAAAAGAGACTGACCTCTGAGTTTGTTTCGGCATTTCTTCTCAGAGTAGTCAGATAGGAAATGCCGGCTTCATCTAGTTTTTCACATATAAATTGACGTGTAAAAGTGCCGTATTATATTATTATAAAAATAAATTCATTGTTTCATTGTGACTTGATTGTACCGAAATTTTGGTGATTGTGGTTTCTATACGTAATTGAGTACTTTGAATGTCCATATAAATCTGACGCTGACTGTACACGCTGTATATTGTCATCTCTTTCTATCGTACTTAATAAAAAAGAGACAAAACAATAATATTTGACATCGTTATTATTATTATTCTAGCAAAGAATTTGGAATTCCAATTTCTTATTTATCACATTCAAGTAACTTTATGTACGATTTAACATCATATACATATGTATATGTAATAAAATAGAAAGCATTACAAATACTTCTTTTTTAAATTCGATAAAACTCTAAATAATTGTCCAAAAATCTAATTAAAAGGAATGCAATCATAATTTCTTTTAGATTGGACAAAAAAGTATGATATACTTACTTAATATTAATTTTATTTTTTCATTAATATATTTTTTGTTCTAAATCATCGTCCATTTTACATAATTCAATATAATATTGGAATCGGGAATACATTATATATAATAATATATAGACATATTTCCTAATAATATTAAAACGAAAGTTTTCAAGTATGGATAGATGAAAGCTTAGGCATTAGTATTTTTCCATTATATATATACTAGCTTCAGCTAGCGGATTCGCCCGCAGTACCAATAACCCTATGTGTTAATCCACACTTTAATCTATTACATACCAAAATTCCATTCAAACCGTTTAGTAGTTTTTATGCCAAGGTGAAAGAAACATACACCCATCCATACTTATATGCCCGGTTCCTATATTTAACGAATCGTCGTTGTATACGCATTACGACCAAATGACATTACGAATAGTTATCTTGACCGTCTACTGACGGTTAAAATATTTATAGGAACACCAGACACCATAGATCTCCATACAATTCGCTTACCGACATCCGTTAGTTGCAAACCGTCAGTAAGTTGCACGACGAGACGTTTGTTATAGGAACGGTTTTAGCTTACGAGTCGTATATAAAACTACTATTCGTAACTAAAACGGATCGTTTCTCAATTATAGGAACCGGGCATAAAACTTTCGCATTAATATAAGTAATAATTTAGGTAGCATGAGCTTTTGTAGGCCAATATTTCTAACTAAAAACATATATACATAGAATTCTACCTAAAAATGACCTTCATACCTTTGTGTAAGGTACAAAATTAAAATAACATAGAGGGAGTCACGCGAATGTTTGTAAATTATATAACGTTATATAAGAAGGCTTATGTATTATTTACTTAATTAGAATATATTCGGTCAAATAAACTATGATTCCTTTATAATGAATGGGAATGAGCGTAATTCCTTATTTTGGGGACCATTTTCGACCTCATACAACATAATTAGGAAACCCGAAAATATTTGCTCGACTTTGGAACCAAATCCAAGACTTTTACGACGAATGAGACAGTCAAAATGATAATGTAATTTATTAGGATGAGTCTGACTCGAAAAATTTCGAAAATCCCAATCATACTTTACTCGACCTGAGAACCGAACTCCAGGCTTTTAAAAGCCAACTATGTACATTATACAGTGTAATTTATAATTATTAAATTGAGTATTTACACTTTATAGCATTAAAAAATAAATTGAAATTTAAAAATACATATTATTGTGAAGACTATTAAAATATGTTTAATAGCTTATGCACGTAACTTTTCATATTATTTTTTGTTCTCAGTCAAAAAGACTATAATTTATTCCAACTTAACCATAAAAGTGTGGGAGAGCCATGCTTCGGCACGAATGGGTCGGCTCGACCGGAGTGATGCCACGGCCTTACAGAAAACCGGCGTGAAACAACCACAGCGTTGTGTTTCGTCGTGTGAGTGAGGTTACCGGAGGCCTAATCCTACCCCCCCACAAGTCCCTCCTCATTCCCAAAATCTCGAAATCCCTAATCCCCAAAAGATCGGCAATGCACTTGGAACTCCTCCGTCGTTGCGGGTGTCCATCGGCGGCGATGATTGCTTTGCGACGTTTGCTCGTACCCCAAAAAAAAAAACAGCTACTTTTGTAAAGTCAAAATAGATTAATAGTCTGTCAGTCTGTTCTTCAGTGAAGCTTGGTATTCGTTCCAAGCGTAAATTCGAATGGAGAAGAACGAGTAAAGAAGATGGAGATACAAAAAATACGTTTTACAAGTTTACCAATACATAATTCAATACATATAATTGTACTTATATGTGTTATTAAAAAATCTATAAAATCAACTTTTTTTTGTTTTTTTTTTTGTTTTTAAAAAAAAACGTTGCCCCACTTTAGGATTTTCTCCTGTGTTGTGGGTGCGTTTACAAACATACAATGTCACATACACATGACACCCAGACCCGAAACAACAATTTGTGGATCACACAAAGTGTTATTCCGTGCGGGAATCGAACCCGCGACACGTTGCACGGCAGCCAGTTGCCCAGCCACCGCACCAAGCGTGCAGTCAAACTTAGTAATAAACTAAAAAGTTTATTTGCAAAACTGATTGAAAAAGAGTATCCATTGAGTTTCTTGCTCGTTCTTCTCCATAGGAATCTACACTTTGGAACGAGTAAATAGCTTCACTAAGAGGACAGACCGACATCCACTTTCATTTTATTTGACGTTCAAAAGTACTTATTGAAATAAATTATTTGACTTCGACGTTTATCGAGCAATGCTGCTCTTGATTATGAGCTCTTAGAGTATCTTGAAAACAGACGAGTTACGTGAATAAGCTGCTAAACATATTTTAATGTACCTAACAAAAGTTTTAGTGAAAACACTATATTTATATTCATAAATGACCAACAGAGCCATTTTTTAATAGTTAGTGTAATAGGGGGCGAATCTATTACCGAAACTTTGCATATTATTCGTTGAAATATAGAAACGTGATCAGATTGCCCAATCCTTTACGTACAGCTTTCTGATTGGTTGATTTACTTGGATTAGACCAATCACAGCGCCAAATTTGTCGTTCGTCTCGAAGTAACGGAAACTCGCACTAGGAACACCGTTAATCCAAAATCCACTTATTTTTTTTATTTGAAGCATTTTTAGCTCAATAGTAGATGTAGTTCAGCTTAAAATCGGAACTAATCAACCCTTCGAAAGCCAACGGAAAACTATTGTTGTCAAATCGTCAGCTAACAATCACTGCCCCATGGCGTTTAACGTGTTAAGATATTAATATCTAAATTTAACAGCCAAAAATACATCCACAAAACGATCTATACAAGAGGAAAATTTCATCCGAATACGTCCAGCCGTTTAGGCGTTTTAGTCACAAAATTTACACACTTATTTAAAGATAAAAATCTATGTTCAGTCACTAAAAAGTTTAATTAAGTTTATGAAACTTTTGACTTGCCACTGGCACTTTTTTCACTATCCTCTGTAGATTTGAGTGTGCCATTTTGACACTTTCCATTGGTGAGGGGAGGCTCTTTCCTCCTCTTGGGGATTTCATGCACCCTCTCTAAGAGGGCTTGGAGGATACTGCCGGGAATCCTCTGGTGTTCTTCGACTAAATCCTCTATCGCATGGGCGACCTGGGTAAAGAATTTATTTTTGTCATTCATATAAACATTTTATAGAAAATTTGCAACATGTAATGCAATTAAAAAAAAAGTTTGTATGACCATTAATGCTAAATTGACTAGGTACTCTAACACCCGGTTTCTGAAAGGCTTGTCAACGCTAAAATTAACTAATCTCCTATTAAATCTCTTGTCAAGTCATCTGATTGGTTGTTGATAATTCAGCCAACCAATGAGATGACTTCACTTCAATTGATATTAACATTGATCGGCCTTTCGGAAACCCGGTGTTAATCTCTAGCGTCCCGAGACTTACTTACATTTAAGTCGCCTGTAAGAACATCGACGAAATTTTAAATAATAATAATTATTATAGTGCGTACGGGGATAATTGTCGGCTGATGGTGTCATTTCACTAATAACAAAGTTGGTCAATGGGCCTCTGCGAGTTGACTTCGGCCCCTCGTACGCCTTCTAAAACTCCTTACATGAATAGAAGAACAAAATAATAATAATAATTAATGACCATTAGCCAACAGGTTCGACGTTCCCGAAAGGATCTGTCGACATGTTGGATAGATTATAAGCAAAATGTACAGCGTGATAATAGCCTTACGCTAAGATCGCGCTGTACAGGACTAAATACCTAATCCTAAGTACTACTAGCTAACGTTATCCTACACTATCCTAGATAATCTAACACTTACAATATCCTATCCTGGATCCCCTAAGCCCAATAACCTATGTAGTCTAAGTTCTATCCTATATTTGCCTAGCGTACAATGCGTATAGGCTTGGTACTCTGTGGTATACTGTGATACAGACCAGCACTTCTACGCACCTACTACCAAGCCCTTAACCTAAGGCACGTACTATAGTGGTACACTGTGGTATGCTGTGATACAGACCTACTCTTCGTACGCGCCTAATGCCCTAGCCCTACAGTCCCTAGACCCTAGCCCTACTATACGTATTTATATATACTTATATAGATAGGTGCAGGATATCTGCCAACTGAGACCTATGATGGCAGACGGAATGTGGGTAGGAATGGGGTATGGTGGTGATGGTTTTCTCACTGCCTGTCGAGCAGACTCACACGACAGATCGGTTGATGGCTAAAGGTGTCTTGGCCACAGTGAGAGGTGGAGGAAGGGTAGTGAGTCAAAGTCGGAATCAACTTAATGACTCCTTTATTGCTTAATCTACATGATCTTATATACTAAACTTATCCTATGTACACACATACCACATTATGATTGTGTGCTATGCGTGTAATGTACCATCTCAGTGCTATATACCTTACGTGATTACGTGATGTTTTATTAGTTTTATATATTTAATAAGTAATATGTTTTCCTTATTTTAATCACGTAGGATTATCTCGCTGAAATGGCACGTTCATGTGTGAACATTCTGCCCTCTCCGAGGAACAGGCAACTCCATTTGATATAGTTCTATGGAGTCATCCTTGGCTGCGTCCTGGTTCTCCGGCTGCTTCCTGGGAGGCTTCAGTAGTTGGTTCGGCTGGCTGTAGATGGCGTTCCATGTAGATGGCTGGTTGTTGCCTTGATCTGGTGCACGTTGTGGGTGTGGCGGATCAGCTTTTGATGATTTAGGGTGTTGTCGAAGTCGATGTGTTCCTGTTTTCGTACACGTAACTATCCTGGGACCATAACAAACAACTATAATTATAATTGTCATCAATATTATTGATGATACGCAGCTCACTAAGTATGTGTGAGATTGAATGTCCTTCCATATGTTATCGTTAAGTTCTATTTCCAATCCAGACTCTTCATTTATTAAGTGCTGATAAAAGTCATTGGAACTTTCTATTACAGCCTCCTTAGATATATTTAGTTTTTTACTTCGATTTGATATATATATGTATATACTAAAATTTAGTTGTTTTGAAAAGGACTCTGCTACCTGAATTGATAACGTTCTCTTAGCAGCGAGTCTGTTGTTAACGGATTTTATGATACAATTGTCAGCGATTTTTATTACTCCTACGTCTTGAATGGTTATTTCTTCTCGCTTACTATCACAAACTATGGATATAGTGCTACTAGTTTTTGTTATAAACAACCATGAGTTTTGCATGCATAGCTGTTTCCAAATTATATTACTTGACATTTCAAAGATATGGGTAGGACATTTAGTGTTAGTTTGATTTTTGAATAATTGGTCAACGATGCAATTTTCATTTAATTGCATGTTTTTCACCACTCCAGGGAAGCAAAGAAACTGTTCGTGCCTTTGTATACACTCTTTGAATTCTTCGTGGTCCAGTTCGAAGTATAATTCATTATTGTAATCAATTGCTAAAAATGCTCTCGATACTTCTATGCTTTCGAACGTATTGTTCATATTCTTCTTAGGTACTGGTGTAACATGAATTAAAGTATACTTTGTAATATCTTTAATTGGAAAATAAGCGTGTACTTGTATATGAGTCATATTCTCGACTATCCTTGTATCTAATAATAGTTCTTGGACTATTCTAATGTTGGATGGCATCTTCCTATTTGCGGAAAATATTAATTCACTAACATTTTTGGGTGGCAAGACACTATACACGCTAGCCTTTGTTAAGTATACTTCTAATAACCCATTGTAGTAGTTTAAAATTTCGTCAATGTAATTATTGGCTACTTGGAACGTTTGCAAAATCTGAATCTTTATATCATTGTGATTAGTTTTAATGTACCAATAGTCATAGCTATTTATGCGCTCTATTACTTGTGACAGTTTTGTTTGAAATCCTTCTAGTTTATGTCTTATTCTTTCTTCAGTACCATTTACTTGGGAAATAGCCGATATCATGATTTTAGTTTGGTGACTAGATGCTTCAATCAATTTTTGTTGGTTTGAGTTTAACGAATCTATGTCTCTGTATATCTCGTCATTTACACCAAACACTGAGGTTAAAAAATTCCCCAGCAAACCCCTTCTCCTTCGCGTTTCATGAAACTCTGTAAAATATTCTTTGATGCGTTCATATTTTGTCTTTTGCTCCAGTAAATGATGATAAAATTGATTACAATGTGTATCCGTCGTTGCAACGTCCGCCTTGTCACAAAGTTGCTTAAACTTGGATAATGCACTTTCTATCCTAATGTAATCCTCATTCAGTCGCTCTTTCTTATATACCGTCTCTATACGAAACATGCCTCGATCTATGTTTGCGGTTCCTATGTTTTCAACATAAAATCCTGGAGACAAATTCTTCACGGTATATGTCTGTGTAGCAATCATAGTACCGAACAATTGTAACATTATTAGTAAGCATAATAGCCATTTTGACGTGCCTCTACAAGACCTCGGACTCTTATTACTATAGCATGTAGTAATATTCGTATTAACTTTGGTTTGCGATTGATGACTCAGGTCCGCATTTATAGGCAACGGAATGAGCGTGTGTATCGACCGTTTCTGAATGGCGCCTGATGATTTTTTAAGAGTAACTACTCTAACTAAACCATCATTGCCTTTATGTATTTCCTTGACTTTCGCAAGTGGCCAATTGCTAGGATTAATATTATCTTCTTTCATAAGTACTAACGTTCCAATTGATATATTATTCTCCGTTGTTTTCCATTTGTATCTTTGTTGTAACTGTTGTAAATAATCACGAGTCCAACTTTTCCAGAAGTCTCTTTTCATTTTTTGAATATTTTTCCATCTATTTAACAAATCCGTATTAATGTTAGACAGTGGATCAGGTATTCCTACTGCTTCTCGTCCAATCAAAAAATGACTTGGTGTTAGCACTACATTATCATTTATGTCTTCACTTTGTGCACACAATGGTCTAGAATTTAAACAGGCTTCCGTTTGATATAAAAATGTAGATAATTCTTCGTAAGTTAATGTTTGGTCTCCTATTACCCTGTGTAAGTGGTGTTTCATTGATTTTACTCCTGCTTCCCAAATACCGCCGAAATGTGGCGACGATGGGGGAATAAAATGCCATTGCGTTCCCATAGCTGTCACACTGCTTTGAAATGTGTCTGATTGGGTTATTTCTAACAGCTCCTTGTATAAGAAATTAGCTGCTCCCACAAAGTTTGTAGCGTTATCGCTGTATATATGTGATACTGGGCCTCTTCTTGCCATAAACCGCCGTAATGCCGCTATGAAACTTTCTGTGGACAAGTCTCCTACTAATTCAAGGTGTATAGCTTTTGTCGCCAGACACACAAAAACTGCAATATATCCTTTGTACGATTTATGCCCTCTTCCTTTCATTGTTCTCACTTTTATGGGTCCTGCATAATCGACCCCAGTATGAGTAAACGGAAATGACTCTGTTACTCGGGCTCTCGGTAGTATCCCCATTTTTTGTTTACTTGCCGATGCTGTATATCGAATACATTTTACACATTTTCTTATGTAGCTCTTTACTACACGTTTCCCGCCAAGCACCCAATATTTTTGTCTTATATAGGCCAATGTTAACGTATTACCTCCATGTAATGTTGTCAAGTGAGCGTCATGAATTATAATTGAAGTTACGTGATGCTTCTGCGGTAACAAAATAGGATGTTTTTGATCGTAAGGTAGGTTTGATCTTTGGAGCCTACCTCCCACTCTTAATAAGCCGTCATTATCGATAAATGGGTCTAAGCAAGCCAGTTTATTGCCTTTCTTTAGCGACAACCCGTCACTAATCGCGCGATATTCTTCCGAGAACACTTCCTTTTGTACCAACTTTAAAATATGATTGGCAGTATTATTGATTTCCATACAACTTAATTGGCCATAGTTCCTTCCTTGTCTTATAAATCTATAACAATACGATAAGACTCGTACCATCTTTTTGAAGCTTGAGAATCTTTCCCATATTGATTCCTTTGGTTCAGTGCTTACGTAAAAACTGCGTTTTATTTCTTCGCATATTTCTGGAATAGTTTTCGTACTTGGTATTGAATTATTTTTTAGCCACTCTGGGCCATTCCACCACAGATCTAATTGTTGTAATTTACTTGGCGCGATACCTCTTGAGATTACATCGGCAGGGTTCTGACACGTATTAACATAGTTCCACTTGGCCTTGGGTAATAATGTTTGAATTTCAGACACCCTGTTAGCGACGAAAGTTTTCCAACGATCTGCTTCTCCCTTGATCCATCCAAGCGTGATCATTGAGTCCGTCCAGCAATATATATCTATGTTAACCATTTGCATGTCCTTAATAACGTTTTTCATTAATTTTGCGAGTAATAACGCTGCACACAATTCGAGTTTAGGTAAAGTTATTTTACGTTTCTTTGGCGCTACTTTGGACTTGGCTTGTAATAAAGTGACGTCAGCCGAGTTATCACTTTTTATTACTCGACAATAGACCACTGCGCCGTACGCTTTTTCGGAACTATCGCTGAATCCGTGAAGTTCAATCTGCGCATTAGGTGTATAATGACACCATCTCGGAATTGATATACTTTCCAGTGCTTTCAATTGGCTTTGTATCTCTTCCCACCTTTTCTTTATAGAGTCCTCTACAGGCTGATCCCATTCACTTCCATTTGCCCAAAGATCTTGGATGATTAGTTTCATATTAATAATAACTGGTGCCAACCACCCAAGTGGGTCAAATAATTTGGAAACTTCTGACAGAATGAACCGTTTTGTTGGACTTTGGTTTTTATTAACTATGATTTCATATGAAAAGCTATCTTTATCCGGTGTCCACCAAATTCCTAATGACTTCCTGGCTTCGTCTATTGGCAATCTAAACATTTTGTTATCTTGATTATCATTTGGTATGCTCTCCAATAATTCCGCACTATTCGATGACCACTTTCTGAGGTTAAATCCACCGGTCTGTAACATACATGTTAATTCTTTTTGTAACTGCTTTGCGGCCTTGATTTCATTTTCCCCTGATAATATATCGTCGACATAGAAATCTTGAAGTGCTATACGACTGGCAATAGGATAATTCCTTTTTTCGTCATTTGCCAGTTGCTGTAACGTCCTTACTGCCAAATAAGGTGCAGATGCTGTACCGTACGTAACGGTTGTTAATTCGTATTCCGCAATTGGATACTTTATTGACTCCCTCCATAATATTCTCTGATATTTCCAGTCTTGTTCATTTACTTTTATAAATCTGTACATCTTCTCTATATCTGCCATGAATACTATTCTATGTTTACGCCACCGTAGTAATATAGACGCCAAGTCTTGTTGTAACCTAGGTCCCGTGTACATATTAGAGTTTAAGCTTGTGTGTGATTTAGCCTTGCTTGACGCATCAAATACTACCCGTAATTTGGTGGTTAATGAGTCTTCTTTAATCACCGGTTGGTGAGGTATATAATATTTTCCCTGGTAGTAATCTGATTGTGGCACTTTTCTCATGTGACCCATTCTAAGGTATTCGTCTAGGAATTCTTTGTATTGGTTTTTCAGTGTTTTGTTTCCTTCAAACTTTCGTTCTAATTGAAACAGTCTCGCAGCGGCCCTTTGGCGCGTATTTCCATAAACGACGTCAGAGTTTTTAATTGGAAGTCGAACAGTATAAGTGCCATCTCGATTTCTTTCTGTGGTTTGTTGATACAAATGTTCACATAATTGGTCTTCGTTAGATAGATTATCTCCCTCAGGTATCTCTTCTAATTCCCAGAATTTTGTTAACTGGTGCATTTCAACTGAGCGAGTTATCATACTAGTGATTCGTATGTTGTTTGTGGAAGGATTACTGCTTATTCCGGATAATATCCACCCAAACTCGGTGTCCTGGGCAATAATACCGCTTTCTATTTTGTGTAGGCCTTGCAACAATATTCTGCTATATTCTTGAGCGCCCAATATTATGTCTATTGGACCTCGTTTGTAATAAGTCGGATCTGCAATTAAAGTGTTTACTAAGCACTCCGCTTGTATTGGTTGTATAGTTTTATTTGGTAATGAACCCGTTAACTTTGGTAAGATAATGAGTTTTACGGGTAACTTAAATTCGCTTGGAAATCTCGGTTGTAAGTTCACTTCAATACTGTAGTTTGAAGTCTTCGGTGTCTCGTCACCGATACCTACTACCTCACATTTTATTTTTCTGCGAGGGTAGGATAGTAATTGGGCTACTTCTTCTGTGCAGAATGAAGCCTGGGAACCTTGATCACACAGCACTCTTAGTAGGTGTGACGTACCATCTTTGGTGTATGTATGCACAAGGGCCGTCGCTAAAAGCGTTGTATCCTGTGTGTCCGGTCCTGTTGTGGACGACATGTTTGACTTGGTTTTTGTCCAAGTTGTACTTGTAGTAGGGTTTTCAATGGTTTTCCGATCCTTTGACCCTTTATTGTTGTCATCTTTAGTGACGTAATTGTTGACATTACCCTTCTTTTGAATGTCAAGGTGTAATAATGAATGGTGACCTAGTTTGCCACAATGTTTACACTTTCCATTACTATGACATTGAACGGATGAGTCATGTATTATGCACTGTTTGCATTTTCGATTCTCCTTCACTTTATTGTTACGCTGTTCTGCTGACAATGCTTTAAATTGTGCGCACATGTATATGTTATGATTGTAACTATTACATAGCCAGCACTTGTAGCTATTTATAGATTTAGGAATATAATGTTGTTTATAATCGGATTTTCCTTCACAGATGGTATTTTCGAGACACATAAACCGTTTTTCCAGAAATGACATCATTGATGAAAATGTTTGAGGTTTGTTCGGCGTTACGAGTTGTTGTTCGTATTTTTCGTCAGTTTCCGAATCCCAAATACGACTCAGTATTCTTGTTAACATAGGATCCCATGACGAGATATCAATTTTCTGATTTTTAATCGCCTCTAGGTTCTCCTTAATTGTATCATGCAGAAACTTCAAACTATTCGCAGAGCCCACCTTCAGTTTTTGTATGTTGAGAATGTTGTCAATGTGCTTAGTGATAATCATTCTCTCGTTTTCGTAGCGATTCTTAAGCAATGTCCACGCAGTCGCATAGTTAGATTCGCAAACTGTCAAATGCCTAATGAGTCTGGCTGCATCACCTTTCACGTGCGTCTTTAAATACTGCATCTTTTCTGTATCTGTGAGTGAGTTATCTTCATGAATGATTTTTAAAAATAAGTCATAGAACGAGCTCCACGACTCATAACTTCCCATAAACATTGGAATGACTATTCTTGGTAGTTTCACGGATGGTTTGTGATCAGTTTGATGTTGTTGTAGCTTTTCATATAGTCGTTCAATTATGTTATCGTAGTCTGATTTCAGTTTTTCAAACACTTCATCCTGAAAATAACTATGTTCTAAGATGTTTTCTTCCTCACAGATATTGAAGTGGCCTTCTTCAACTTTATCACACTGTTTTTGCAAGGCTTCTAGCAATGTTTTATAGTGATAGCTGGATCTGTCGTCTTCAATCGCCAAGGCTGCTTTCTCGAGGTTTTGACGCAACTGATTGATGCGGTACAATTGCAAATTCATTTTTGCTGAATTGTTACTGTTGGTTCTGACTTCTTCTGGGTCCCGAACACAAGGTTGCTGACAAATTGAAAGTTTTGCCTCACATTGTTCCAAATAATCCATAGCATCTTTATACAGCTCTTTGATGATCCCGAAGTAATTAGACTTCATATAGATATGTTCTTCTAAGATCTCCTGGTCTTCAATTAGTGAATGGTTTGCTGATGCTTTGGTGAAGACTTCTGTGAGTCGCGATCTTCTTTCTGCGATGTACTTCTCTGTTTTTCTTGATGTCGAATCCTTTTTGATGTTGTTGAATATGCGTCCGATTTCTTTGTAGTGGCTCTCCTGACTTTTCACAATTTCGTTGATTTGTTGTATTTCCATCTTGCTGCCCTATCCTATCCTAACCAACCTAACAATGATATAAGGGGGTAGAACAATTACACTTAGTTGCGATCTATATCCTCGTTACGGTATGTGCGACTTCTCGAGCACCGGGGCGACCCTGTTCAGGGAGACCGATACCTGATCCGCTACCGAACGACGCAAACTAAGTTAGTCAGTCACTTGATATACAACGAAACAAGCGCTAGGTTTATGCGCAAGTCTGCTGTATACCAATTGTCTGTCAGTCAATTAGTCAATTTAAGGGACAAGATGATTCTCTACCGATGACTCGAAGGACCAAAATGTACAGCGTGATAATAGCCTTACGCTAAGATCGCGCTGTACAGGACTAAATACCTAATCCTAAGTACTACTAGCTAACGTTATCCTACACTATCCTAGATAATCTAACACTTACAATATCCTATCCTGGATCCCCTAAGCCCAATAACCTATGTAGTCTAAGTTCTATCCTATATTTGCCTAGCGTACAATGCGTATAGGCTTGGTACTCTGTGGTATACTGTGATACAGACCAGCACTTCTACGCACCTACTACCAAGCCCTTAACCTAAGGCACGTACTATAGTGGTACACTGTGGTATGCTGTGATACAGACCTACTCTTCGTACGCGCCTAATGCCCTAGCCCTACAGTCCCTAGACCCTAGCCCTACTATACGTATTTATATATACTTATATAGATAGGTGCAGGATATCTGCCAACTGAGACCTATGATGGCAGACGGAATGTGGGTAGGAATGGGGTATGGTGGTGATGGTTTTCTCACTGCCTGTCGAGCAGACTCACACGACAGATCGGTTGATGGCTAAAGGTGTCTTGGCCACAGTGAGAGGTGGAGGAAGGGTAGTGAGTCAAAGTCGGAATCAACTTAATGACTCCTTTATTGCTTAATCTACATGATCTTATATACTAAACTTATCCTATGTACACACATACCACATTATGATTGTGTGCTATGCGTGTAATGTACCATCTCAGTGCTATATACCTTACGTGATTACGTGATGTTTTATTAGTTTTATATATTTAATAAGTAATATGTTTTCCTTATTTTAATCACGTAGGATTATCTCGCTGAAATGGCACGTTCATGTGTGAACAAAGGCCTATGACTCTGTCCCTCATACATGGCTCATGAGGGTGCTGGAATTGTATAAAATTGATACAAAACTACGCACCTTCCTGATGTCCTGTATGAGGCAATGGAGTACGGTCCTTCGCTATCCGGGATGTCGACATATCCAAACGAATAGCGAAACTGTAAGGATCGAGCGGGGTATATTCCAGGGTGATAGTTTGAGTCCGCTTTGGTTCTGCCTAGCCTTGAATCCTCTTAGCACATTGCTTGAGAATTCAGGTCTAGGTTACCGGTTGAAGAGAGGTGGTCAGGTTATATCTCACCTCCTTTACATGGATGATTTGAAGCTTTTTGCCCCCAACAGGCTGCAACTGATGGAGCTACTCAAGCTTACTGAAACCTTCAGTAGTGCCATCAGGATGGAGTTTGGTGTGGACAAATGTGTGGTCATGCATGTCAAACGAGGGGAGATTGTGGAGTCTGTGGGCACTCAACTCACGGATTCCATAAACCTGAGGTCCCTCTCTCCAACCGAAACCTATAAGTATTTGGGTATGTCGGAAGCTTTAGGCATCAATGTCACTGACATGAAGCAATCACTGAGGGAGCGTTTCTTTGGTCGCCTGAAGAAGGTATTAAATAGCTTTCTTTCAGGCGGAAACAAGGTGCGAGCTTTCAACGATTGGGTCATGCCGGTATTGATGTACTCTTTCGGCGTACTCAAATGGTCTCAAACCGAACTTGACACCCTGGATAGGCGGGTCCGAACAATGCTGACTGCATACCGAATGCATCACCCGCGATCGTCGGTGATGAGACTGTATATCCCGCGGAAGTGTGGGGGTCGAGGCTTTTTAAATGCCAAGACCCTACACAACCGCGAGGTATGTAGTCTCAGGGAATATTTCCTTGCTGCCGACGTGGGTATGCATCGAGATGTAGTGGCAGTGGACAAAGGGCTCACCCCGCTCTCCCTGGCTAGCGAGAACTGGCGTAAACCGGTCGTACTTGACACCAACGCTCGCAGGGAAGTATGGCAGAGCAAGGAGCTTCACGGACGCTTTTTCCGAGCTCTACATGGGCCGGATGTAGACCAGTTGGCGTCCGTATCCTGGCTGCGTTCCGGAGACCTCTTTGGGGAAACCGAAGGGTTTGTCTGTGCAATTATGGACGAAGTTATCATGACGAATAACTACCGGAGATTTATTGTGAAGGACGGCACGGCTGACATCTGTCGGGCATGTCACCGTCCGGGAGAATCAATTCGACACATAATCTCTGGTTGTTCTCGTCTAGCTAACGGCGAGTACTTGCATAGGCACAACCTTGTAGCTAGGATCATCCATCAGCAGCTTGCTCTGAAGTACTCTCTTGTGGGATCGGAAGTGCCGTACTACAGGTATGAGCCCGACCCAGTTCTTGAAAATGGTCATATCACCTTGTACTGGGACCGGTCTATCATCACTGATAGGACTATTGTGGCCAATAAGCCTGATATTGTGGTGGTGGACCGAAACGAGAGGCGTGCAATGATTGTTGACATAGCCGTCCCACATGACGAGAACCTCGTGAAAGCTGAGAAAGATAAACTAATCAAGTATATTGACTTGGCACGCGAGGTTGTCGACATGTGGGATGTGGATTCGGCAGTCATTGTACCGATAGTCGTGTCAGCCAATGGCTTAATAGCCAAGAGCCTCGACCAACATCTTAGGAGGCTCTCGTTAGGTGGCTGGATTAAGGGCTTGATTCAGAAAGTGGTACTCCCGGACACGGCTCGTATTGTCAGGAGGTTCCTTTCTCTGGAGCCCTGACCGCCGGTAGCTAGGACCCTGTTCCCGATACCGGTGGGACACTATTTTTTATATTTTTAAATGTTTTTTTTTCTTTTCAATTTTTAAGAAATATTTAAAAATGTAAATTATATGTTTATATGTTGAATAAAGAATATAATAATTATTTTTATTAATTACCTTTCGTTGTAGTTGTTCGGGCGTTAACTCAGGGTCGTATGGTATGGGCTTGCCAAGATGCGTAATGAGTTTGACTGGGAACCCGCCATACACTGGCGCCAGTGGCATCCTAAACGTTGCATATATCTTCAACCATACGCCTCGCAGCCAACCGACAGTTCGGAACGCTTCTCGAACGTTCTGCGTGAACATTGGTACTATGGGCTGTAAATAGTACATTTATATTAATAAAGTTATTTTTTTTAATGGGACAAGCCCGCCACATCCTCCCAAAACCGCTGCAACTCATGTAAGCCAGGATCTACAGTAGATACAACCATGAAAACACCGGAACACTGAAATCCGGCGCGTCCTAGGGACATGAATGACTGTCTTGGATCCCGCGACGAAATAAATCAGAAGATATTATTTGATGAGAAGAAAATTATTAAAGTTATCAAAACCGATGCAAAGCAACGCTAGCACTAACTATGTTTCCCGTTGTGTGTGAATAAGGTAAGCAAAGACCCAATTCTTCTGACTTTCCCGATCCAAATACCATCCGAGAGGATTAGGGGTTTGAGGATTCGGGATTTAGTTGCCAATGTTAAAACCCCTAAACCCAAAAAGGCTGGCAATGTACCTACTCATAACTCTTCCGGTGTTGCTGGTGCGCTAATTGCTTATCATCAGGTAGTTGGGCTGCTCGTTTCCCGTGATAAATCAAAGCAATTAATCCACATAATGGCCTTTTTTGAAACGTATAAATGGAATTGAATTGTCCAGCCTGGACTGGACACAAGAACGTTGCCGACTTCTTAAGTCATTGATTGCCGACAGATTACTGTTGAAGGTAAATCCTCCGTAGTGTGGTCCACATGTTGTCCCCCATGGTGTTCAACGTGTTAAGGAGTTCAGATGTGAATTTTAATTTGGACCCTCCAACTCACCACTTTAGCTTCCTGAGCCACTTTAGCGAATCCGATCCTGTTCCTCCAGTTTAGTCTATAGTAGTGATCACCGAACTGCGCCTCGTACACTCCACCGGGGGATATTGCAAGGGGATTGCCGTTACGCAGCACTGATGCACAAGTCTGCACTGTACCAGGAATCACGCATAAGCCTTCAAGAAGGGTTGCCCAACCTATAAAGAATATTTTTTTTACAGGTTATAAAAATACAATTCCTCTAAAACAAACACGATAACAAGTATGGTTAAGTGTTATTTCAAGAACTCTCTCTCACACAATGATGTAACAAAGAAATAAATTGTGAAGCCGATTGAAAATGAGTAATCATGAAGTTTCTTGCTCGTTTTTCTCCGTCGAAATCTACACTTCGGAACGAGCAAATAGCTTCACTAAAGGACAGAGGGACAGACTGATACGCATAAACTTTGGTTTTTTTTTGTCGGTCAAAAGTGGCTGATTTGGTCTCTTTGAAATAAATGACTTTGACTTTGAGGACTATATACTAAATTTGCGCTAATTTTCACCCAGTGGGGGTCAAGGAAGACGTTTAGATCTAACTCAGAACCTTAACGGGCGTTGTTCCATAAGAGCTCTTGAATTAGTCTATTCAAACTTTGAGAGGATCCGGTATTCCTTACGAGTATAGGTGCTGAGCGCCAGGGCTTCGATGAGGCTTAAGTATTCGACAAACTTCTTTTCTCAAAGGCTATTTAATGGTCCAAAAACAACAATGATCTGTTTAGCAGATTTTGTGTTAGGTAAACAGTAGAAATACAAATACATTCTCAAAAACTTTCGCATTAAACTTATAAGTAGGATTAAAAATATACAACGTGATTTGTTACTAGTTCTTACTAAAATATAATAGCAATAATTTTAATCCAAAATGGGATATTTAGGAAAGGAGCGATGGTTGGATATGAAGAGTTGAAGAACAAGCTCAGTAGTGCGTCAAACGTCAAAATTGAATAGTAGTCTGTCACTGAGGCTAGAATCGAATAGAGAAGAACAAACAACAAACTCCATCGTTTTATATATAAAAAAATATTTGTTTAACAGTTTCACTAATACATTATTTAGTAGGTAGATGTACATTATTGTACCCTTACATAGAACAAATGATAGGATCTATCTATCATTTAATTTTAAATGCTTTATCGTCTCTAACATGGCGCTCACATGCGACGATGGCGACATGTCAAGTGTGGGAGAGCCATGCTTCGGCACGAATGGGTCAGCTCGACCGGAGTGATCCCACGGCCTCACAGAAAACCGACATGAAACAACCCACACCGTTGTGTTTCGCCGTGTGAGTGAGGTTACAGGATGCCCTATCCCTCCCCTTCCCCTATCCCTTCCCGATCCTTATATCCGCAACCCCTATCCCCAAAAGGCCGGCAACGCACTCGTAACTCTTTTGATGTTGCGGGTGTCCATGGGCGGCGCCGATTGCTTACCATCAGGTAATCCGTCAGCTCGTTTGCCGACTTATACCATAAAAAAATGACAGAAGGTAATACAAATGAATACAAACCAGGTATTTTAAACATGAACCGGTCGGCCACGGTGTGAATATGTCGTCGCTTGAAGAGTAACATACGAGCGATGAAGTAGTACATGTCTATGGGCAGCGCTCCGTGGTAATAGATAACGAGGAACGGACCATCCGGTATGTTCTCCAGGCCTTTTATATCGTAACCTGTGGAAGAGATATAAATATCGAAATATTAAAAAAAAAAACTGAAGGCTGCACAAACCGCCAAGAGCGGTTTTCTTATTAGAGGGATCCATATCCATAGGTGGCATCGATAAAAAAAAGAAAGAAAGTATGATAATTACGCTGAGGATGCATAAGTCGAAACCAATTAGTCGAATTAGCCATCTAACCAGCGGTCTAAATGACAAGTCGTTTTTATTTTTTTCTTAAAGTAGACGTGACCCCACACTAGTATTTTCTCATGTGTCGTGGGTGCGGTTACAAACATACAACTTCACATACACGTCACACCCAAACCCGGAACAACAATTTGAATCACACAAAGAGTTGTTCCATTCAATTGAACCCGCGACACGTTGCACGGCAGCCAGTTGCCCAGCCACAGCACCAACCGTGCAGTCGAAAAGTCATTTGATTTTTAGTCGAAGGGTGAAGGTATAGTTTTGAAAACCGAGTTGCTACCAGAATGGTAGGTTAGGTTAAAACTGTAAATCGCACAGATATTGAATCGCGTTGAGAAGTAAACAGCTGGCAGAATGCTACAGTGTAAGCAGGCTACATCCTTCTGATTGGTTGTCTAGTTTGTAGCCAGCCAATTATAACGCCGAACGTCTGAGAAGTGTTGTTCGAATTAAGGTAAGTAAACTTGCAATAAGTATTTAGTTTGCACTGACTGCACGGTTGGTGCGGTGCCCGGGCAACTGGCTGCCGTGCAACCTGTCGCGGTTTCGATTCCCACACGGAACAACTCTTTGTGTGATCCACAAATTGTTGTTCCGGGTCTGGGTGTCATGTGTATGTGAACTTGTATGTTTGTAACCGCACCCACGACACAGGAGAAAATTCTAATGTAGGGCAACGTTGTTATAAAAAACAAAAAAAAAGTTTTAAATAAAATTAAGTACATATAATTAAAAATGATTCACAGGTGCCTCTTTGGTTTCTCTCTTATATTTTTTTACATCGCCTGGACTTGAAAATAGACGGGCCTCGTGAGTTTGTTTCGGCATTATTTTCTTCTCAAAGTCGTCAGATAGGAAATGAAGACTTCGTCTAGATTTTTACATATAATTTGACGTGTAAAAGTGCCGTATTATGGCATATTTGCAAAAATTTATTCATTGTTCCATAGAAAAGCATTTCAGAAAAAAAAATCTGAAAAAAGAATGTATGATTAACGTTTGTCACTTACCATGCCACAACCAGCCGTGTGCATCCCATAACGCGCAGACGGCGAGTCGTGCTGCGTGCTTCCAGTCCGGCTGTACGCCATCCACTACGTTCATTCTAAAAACAAACATAAAATTTAATATTTACAACTATAAATAGGTAGGTACTAAAAGATTCAATGGAATTTTTAAAATGGATGTGTTCCTATCCGATTCATAAAAAATGCGCTAGAATGCTAGTAGCTGCTTCGCGCGGATTAAATTCCGGATGTTTCCATATTTTGTGTGTCTCAACTTCTCTAGTGTATATTTTTACTAGCTTTTGCCCACGACTCCGTTCGCGTGAAATAGTGACTCCGGCAATTTTTATTTGTATAAAAACTATCCCATGTCCTTTCTCGAGTTACAAACTATGTCTGTACCAAATTTCACAGAAATCGGTTCAGTAGTTTAGGCGTGAAGTAAAAGATAGACATATAGACAGACAGACAGAGTTACTTTCGCATTTATAATATTAGTTTGGATTGTATCCAAATAAGATCTTTCTCTTGAGGTTCAATAACAAAGACAATAAAAAATATATAAGCCAACTCAGTTCGTTCGCTCACGCCACATCTTTTGAGGTGTGACGAAAGGAAATGGGGATTCTATAACTAAATATTATTTAAATGGAGGGCTGACATGTTTTTTTTTTTACTATTCCTTTACAACCTCCAAAACAAGCTGCAACTTCTGTAAGTCAGGAGTTACAGTAGATACAACCATGAAAACACCGGAACTCAGAAGTCCGTCGCGTCCCAGGGACATTAATGACTGTCTTGGATCCCGCAACGAAATAAATCAGAAGAAAAAACAATATTTATCAATTGAACCTGCCACTTTCAACTCTCCATTACCCAAAAGTCGTCTGGGAGGAAATATTATTTTAAGTTTAATAAATAAAATTCAATAAAAAATATTATTACGTCAAATGATTTAAGACTTAGAACTTATTCTGTATTAGGGCGTATATCGCGTGCATATGTTCACATACATACTTAATACAATGCATTGTTTTATTCCCGCGATTGTTAACAATGCAGGTGCAGTCGTTACCTACTTGTAGATAAAACAAAATTGCATGTTATATGACCCAAGCAAAGAAGTTTTATTAATAATTAAAATACATTTTTTTTATGTAATTGGTCGGCAAACGAGCTGACGGATTACCTGATGGTAAGCAATCAGCGCCGCCCATTGACACCCGCAACGGAGGATTAACGAGTGTGTTGCCGACCTTTTAGGGATTAGGGATTTGGAGATTTAGGGATTGAGGAGGGATTGGGAGCGGGGAAGGATTGGGCCTCCGGTAACCTCACTTTCACGGCGAAACACAACGCTGTGGTTATTTCACGCCGGCCTTCTGTGAGGCCGTGGTATCACTCCGGTCGAGCCGACCCATTCGTGCCGAAGCATGGCTCTCCCACACTTGAACACATATATTCCGTGAAAAAAAATCTCCATCATTTTTTTATGTAATAGCTCGGCAAACGAGCAGACGGATTACCTGATGGTAAGCAATCTGCGCCGCCCATAGAGATCCGCAACGGTGGAGTTACATGGCTCTCCTACAGGAGGCACGGATCTCAGTGGGAGAGCCATGTACTGACTACAGAGGTACAGTAAAGTAATTTTTAGAAAAATAAGGTTATTTTTAGATGCACAGACAGACATTTTTCACGCACTGACGAATGTAACGGAAGAATCTCCCGCGAGAATCTATCTGATTAAGGATTTTGAAGACCTCATAAGTTATCTGAACCAAGAACCAAGGAGGAGTTCCTTTAACTATCCTACTTTTTCATCATCAGAATCGAAGAGAACAGAATTTTTACCGAATACAAAAATAATGAAATATAAATTACTCTCGAAATCAAATGTTAATGAGTTACCCGATTTGTAAACATATTCGGCCTTATTACAAAACAAGGTTTTACTTTAGTCTCGGACTATACCATTGAGCCAGTTTTTGTATTTCGAATTGAAGGTAGATGACAATGAGATTCAAAATTCAAAACCCGACTCAATGGTTTAAACCTGGACTAAAGATAAATCTTGTTTTGTAATGAGGGGGAGTTTTAATGTGATTACATACGCAATAGACAAGTTGAACAACTCTTGAAATTGTTAAGTGTGAGAGAGCCAAGTTTCGGCACGAATGAGTCGGTTCGACCAGACTGAAACCACGGCCTCACAGAAAGCCTGTGTGAAACAACCACAGTGTAGTTTGGCCGTGTGAGTGAGGTAACCGAAGGGCCAATCCTTCCCCTCCGCAATCCCTAAATTTCTGAAATCCTAATCCCAAAAAGGCCGGCGCCGATTGCTTAAAGTCACATAAAATAAAAACCACTGAAAAAGTTTAGCAATTTAGAATAGTTAACATTGATAAAATGAAAGAAATAATATGAAACGTAGTGTAAAACGAAGACACTATCGCTGTTCTTATACATATATCCCTATGTATGCTTAAATCTTTATAATATGTATAATAGCATCTATTAAATAGTGGAGAAATTTTGCATCAGCATTATACCTGTGCAAAGCCGGATCGCTAGTTATTTTTATATAGAGAAATCTTGACGTATTAGTGAAAATTATATTTTTTTTGAAATCCTTGAAAGAATTTTGGAAATCCGACCAGCGGTTCCAAAGATTGCGCCCTACATTCAAACTTACATATTTTACCTCTTTATAATATCAGCACACTTAGATATAATATTAATTCAGTCCAATTAAACTGTCTGGGAATTGTCTACGATATTATTTATCTGGATAGTCGTGCTCTCATTGGCTGCGTTTTATCTAGACATTATTACAGTCACCTTTTTCTTTAATTAGGAAGCCCGTGTTGAACTCGTGGTCGGTTGTTGTCGAGTTAATGAAGGTGTGAATAAACTTCGTGATAATATATATTAAGCTATAATTAATATTTATAAGTATATATAATAGCAACGACAATATTATAAATACTATTTAGCTGACCTGACGAACTTCGTACCGCTTTAAGATTTTTTTTTATGTAGTAGGTCGGCTAACGAGCAGACGGAGTTTAATGTAGTCGTAGTTTTTTTTCTCAACAAACCTCAAATTTCAGTTGCGGACCAGTTCTTATGGCGAAAAAAATCGTAGCTTTTCGTTTTGTACACACATTTTCTCACCGTCAAAGCTCACCCCGGACTACTACGAGTATTTCATTTATAAAGTTTAATTTATACTCTATGATCAGTCCTTCGCCATTTGAAAAGAGTTAATAACGCGGTTGATATCTATGTACGAACAAAATATGCAATAACAGGCGTTGCACTTTTTTTTTAATAATGTATAGTATGACATGCATAAGACATCATCATCATCATCATCTTCCTGCCCTTGTCCCATTTTATTTGGGGTCGGCGCAATATGTTTTTTTCCTCCATTCTGGGTGCGTTTATAAGACCCGGAACAACAATTTGTGGATCACACAAAGAGTTGTTCCGTGCGGAAATCGAACCTGCGACACGTTGCACGGCAGCCAGTTGCCCATCCACCGAATCAACCGTGCAGCCAACCTTGCACTGGAAACCCTTCGAGGTTGGTCTAGACTCTAGAGGACTCCGTCCCTGCATTTAAGCGTTCATGATGGCAACGCCGATGGTTATATTAGGATAAGTTAAAATTCCCACACTCTTATAACCATTAGTAAGCCATGGTTTGAAAGTTTTCTCCGACTTTCAAAAAATAACATTATGAACCCAAATATCTTTTTAGGCCATATTAAAACTCCTTCATCTAGAGAAAGACATTATTTCCAGCACCGAACACAGTCAAGGCCAATTTTGATCTCAGTACTTAAATCGCCATCAATTTTGGACAAACGTGTTTTTTGATTATGAATTATGGGGCTGCAAAAAGACTAACGAGATTTCGGTGCAGCCAGTTTTCATTTAAATTCAAGGGCGAACTTATTTTTGGCTCCAAAACCGGTTGCAACTTATGCAATTTTCATGAGATGCACGCAATAATTTAAAATTACTATAGGCCCGTAAAAAATTAGGTCCGAAAGCGAAATGAGACCAATCTTCAAGATTGTGGAAACGGTGAGAAACATAAAAGGAGGTTTTGATATTCCCAAGTAACTTATCTTTTTTTTTGTGAGGTGAGATCTCGATAAGTATTCGGTGATTAGAGTTCCATAGTTGTTTTTTATACATTCAGTCAACAAAGTATCGGGAATGAATGTTTTTTTTATGGTTCCAAATTCGAATTTTAATTTTTTTTGTTGTTCTTAGATTGGCATAACTGTTTTCCATTTTGGCGCGGAATTTGAGTTGCATCTGTTATTTATATTAAAAACAGTGCTGTTTTTAGTTTTATAATATCTAGTGTGTATTGCGAATTTCATAATGGACAAAAACATCGAACAAAGAGTTTGTCTTAAATTTTGCATCGCCAATGAAATTTCGTGTTCGGAGGCACTCAAAATGTTACAGAAGGCTTACGGTGAATCGACTTTATCAAAAACACGTGCTTATGAGTGGTACAAAGCGTTCAAAAGCGGTCGAGATGTGATGGAAGATTTGCCTCGTTCTGGTAGGCCATCAACGTCTGCAACTGAAGTTAACATCGCAAAAGTGAAGGAAATAGTGACTGAAAATCCTCATTCAAGTTTGAGAGAGATTGTAGATCGTACCATTTTAACAAATAATTTGGGTATGAAACGTGTTGCTGCTCGGCTAGTCCCAAAAGACCTGAATTTTCTTCAAAAACTAAATCGCATGAAAGTCGCTGAGGACATGCTAGAACGAGTCAATACCGACCCAACATTCATGAAACGCATTGTTACTGGTGACGAGACGTGGGTTTACGAGTTTGACATGCAAACTAGTCAACAAGCTTCGGAATGGCGCCTTCCAACTGAACCAAAACCGAAAAAACCACGTCAAAGTCGATCAAAAGTCAAAGTCATGTTGACTGTTTTCTTTGACTATCGCGGTGTTGTGCACTCAGAATTCTTGCTCGAAGGTCAAACGGTAAATAAATAATATTATTTGAGCGTTATGCGGCGTTTAAGAGAACAGATTCGACGAAAAAGGCCAGAAATGTGGAAAGAAAATTCTTGGATTTTGCATCACGATAATGCGCCTTCGCACAAGGCCATCATTGTAAACGATTTTTTGCCCAAACACTCAACAAACACCATCGAGCAGCCACCATATTCACCAGATATGGCTCCAGCCGACTTCTTTCTTTTTCCCACACTCAAATTACCCCTTCGTGGCACCCGTTTTCAATCGTTAGAAGACATAAAGGAGAATTCGCGGCGAGCACTAAACTCAATTCCGGAAACAGCGTTTAAAAAAAGTTTCGATGATTGGATTATTCGTTGGCGTAAGTGTATCGTTTCTGAAGGAGCATACTTTGAAGGTGATAAAATAAATTTAGATGAATAACAAACATTTTGTGTATTATTGACTTTTTCCCGGTACTTTCTTGACAGAGTAGCAATAGTAGCTTCTTGTATATGATATGGCGTGAAACGAGCCTACGCATCACCGATGATAAGCATTCTTATTGACAACCACAGCACCAGAAATGCAGCAAGAACATCCTGCCTGCCTGCCAGTCTTTTGGGGATTAGGAATTTGAGAATTGAGGGATTTGTGTATTAGATATGAGAAGGGGGAAGGATTAGGTCTCCAGTAACTACACTCATACCATCATACGGTGATAAAAAGCAGCCGTTGTTTCATGATAGTTTTCTGCGAAGCTGTGGTATCATTCCGGTTGAACTGGGGGACGATTTGTATCGAGGTATGGCTCTCCCACACCTAAATGGTCATATATACCTACCCCACCTTTTACCCGGGGTTCTGCCCACGTGAATTTATTCATAAACTCAACTACAGGAACATATGTATACAAACAAAATAATAATAGATCTTTACCTATGAAATTGCCGTTCTGCAGTACTGCATGGCCAGTACCTATTACATAACATGCCTCACAATATTGGTAAGTTGAAAAAAACTTAATTAAGGTAAATTGTTATTTATTATCTGTGTTTTTATAAAAATAGTTTCATGCGGCAACGCAGTGATTGTTGATTGGCACAATTTAAAATATTCCTCTCAATAGCATTATAAGAAAGACCTCTGCTCTGTGATAACTTAAGATCATTTTTATTCCATTTATATAATTTATAAGGCTGAGCTAATATGTCTGGGTTGTTACCGAGGGTTCTAGAATATAATTTAATTACTCTCGAATAAAATAAAGAAAAGTCTCTCTTTTAGACTTTTAAAAATGAATGAATATGAGCTAAGCGTGCGAATATTTTAGATTGAGGTAATTTGGTAGAGGTGCTTATAAAAATAGATATCTAAGTCTGGCCCCAAAAAAATTTACACGAACGAACAAATAACTGCTCACAAGGGCAGAACATGTCGTCTAACTATCAAAACAAAATTTTTAAATCGATTTAAAATAGATAATATGAATGTAAAAATAAAGGAGTAAAAAAAAGTACCAGATTACAGCGCAGCTCATGTCTTTTTTTTTATTATTTATTTAATAGGTCGGCAAACGAGCATACGGGTTACCTGATGGTAAGCAATCAGCGCCGCCCATGGACACTCGCAACGGAGGAGTTACGAGTGTGTTGCCGACCTTTTAGGGATTAGGGATTTGAAGATTTAGGGATTTAGGAGAGATTGGAGGAGGGGAAGGATTGGGCCTCCGGTAACCTCACTCACACGGCGAAACACAACGCTGTGGTTATTTCACGCCAGTTTTCTGTGAGGCCGGTGTATCACTCCGGTCGAGCCGACCCATTCGTGCCGAAGCATGGCTCTCCCACACTTAATGTCTCGGTGATACTTGAAATTAATAGAGATTTTCTCGAACAGTTCACATGACATGAGTTAGCCGTAAAATTCGATAAATAAACTCACCTGTATAGCCTGTAGAGATGGAAGATGATAGCGCTAATGTAGATGAGGACGATGATGACTGCCGGCAGGAGGAAGGTCACGATGACCGGCATCAGGAACCACGTCAGCCATAGGCTGTACTCTGTGTCCACATACTCCACTATAGACAAAGAGAATAAGTCATTATTTATTTGCATAAATAAATGCGTTTATAGGTATAAAAAGGTATAAATCAGCGCTAATTATGAGCCCCTAGCGAAGCTCGAAACTATTCGAGTTCCTCGTCAATCGACAAACAGTATAAGTAAGAAAATGTCAAGATTTTAGATGGGGGCGTTCCCAAAGTGGAACATGTGTGTTCCATATGTGTATGGACTAAAAAACATGAATCAATATAATATTAAGATCTCATGTAAGCTAGATTTGAAACAAAACTTAAACCGCATTCTATATGGTGCGTAATAAATTTCAAACACGTAGACAGAAGATAAAGTAAAAAGTCTCAAAGCTGATTCCGCCTCTTATAAAAAGTCAAAAAAATATTCTTCCGTCTACCGCTTATAGGTCCGATTGCAGGTCTTCCGAAAAACACACCTAATAATAAGACATTTAGTGCTAATTTAATTACGTAACAATAAATCTTAGAAAATAATAAAAAATTGCTGGTTTGCTAGCACTTAGGTATTAAACTCCAAGGAAACGCGGAGACCTTGCCTAATCCAATAATTGCCATAATCGCAAATAAATGTACAGACCGAAGCACATCGAGTTACTCTAAAATGACTTCATTTTTAACCATTTTCTACCGTACCGCTATGTAGTAAAGTTTGAATTTTATTGACTAATTTAGGATAGCTTTATATGCGTTCGTAGGTTCTCAAGCAATTTGTACGGATATTATCTTCGGCTATTCTTTGTTTTTACAATAGGCCGGTAATTTCATATAATTTTTGTTAGGCATTGCGTACTTACTAGTTTTATAAATAACAAAAACCCGTTAAGTACTGTTTTCGAAATTGAAAATGGAGAAGTTGATAATTTTGACTGTAGGACTTATGCTTCACTTCGAATGGGCTGCCTCACCCGATTGGTACCACGAACCACGGCCTCCTAGAAAAACCGGCGTGAGAGATTTTTGCATTTCTTTTTGTGAGCGAGGTTATTGAAAGCTTGTGGATGGGGGAAGTCAAGGATGTGGCCCCAAACCGGCAACGCCAACGTCTTCTGGACCCGTAAAACCGTAACAACGGGTGCCTCCATTTCGCAGTCATCGTGGTGAGACATGGTTTTGGCTATTTTATCATATTGCTTTTTAAAATTGCAGACTGTAATGTTGGTAACATTGCTGACCAATATGTAGGCCTCCAGCCAGTGTTTAAAAAAATATTGTCTAGTCTTTTTATATGAGGGGAAAATCATCAAATTACTTTTCACGTCCAGAGTGAGGCGTGACTACTCCTGCTCTAGGGAGGCCGTGGTACCTTATTGCGCTTGTCCTGCAACCCCGGCTGTACATCGGCCCCTCTGGAGATTGTCAGGAAATCTTAAATAAGGTTTTTGACTAAGATATAAAACAAAAATTTTTGCAAACCCTAGACTAACGAGTATTAAACCGCAAGGTTAGGTCAACCCCATTAAAGATTACGCCTCAAGATAAAAATAACAGAGGCCGCATTAAATCACCCGTTAACATAATAGAAAAAAAAATATATCAGTCTGGATATCGCATATAAAAATTTCCAGAGACTAAAGTCCAATTCCCAAGTCCCTTTTATTTATCAACGACAATGAACTCAACATCATTACACGAATAGAATCGATATCAACAGGATACGCGATAGTTGATACAGAGCACAGAAAATAAATGACATTATTTTTTTACAATCATGGCGGGACATCCGGGTTTTATCAGCGTCTATGAACCGTCTGCTCGCAAACAGACACTTATTCTAAAATATACTTTAACTATACAGTACTAAGGTTCGGTACTCAAATTGCGTTTATTTCGATGCACTATTGGCACGGTGACCCGAGCACGCAGGGCGCATGCGTCGCGCATGGTTTCCCGCCTTAATGTGACAGTTATGTTTATTTGTTTTACTTATCTGTGGCAATAACATATAACGATTTCCTAATAAAATGATTATTCAATATGTTTATGTAAATGAATTATTTCAAGGGCATCGAACTTATATTACTAAACTACTGTTGCTTTACTTATATTTTACGTGTAAATGCAGTTGCAAAATGCACAAAACAGGGTCAATACCTTTTTTTGTAACTTTGAAATAAATACAATGAATACCTAAGTAGCACAGACGTTGCTCCCTGACCGAATTTCTGTGGTTATGCACACTGTAAATAATCAAATTATTAATGAGTTTTTTTTAAGTCACACAGTGTCAATTTGTTTTAACGTCCAGATGTAGTTATTGCGTCTTTTCGACAACACTTACGTAGGGGGTAATCTTTGGAACCGCTGGACGGATTTACAAAATTCTTCCACTGATAGATAGCTGCAATGTTCGTGAGTGCTATAGGCTATAAAACATCACGCTACGATAAAAAGGAGCTGAGCAGCGGGTGAAACCGCGCGAGAGTAGCTTGTTAGACATTTTTTTCTTCCTCTCCGCGTCAAGAATTATAAAAAGATTTCTTCGGAGATAGCGAAGTGTAAAGATGTGTTATTCCGAATCTGGCACATCAAACTGTATTAAAAAAATAATTTGTAAAAGCACTTATAGCACACGTACCAACATTTTAGCAGAAAATTCTTTCTTTAAAAAATCCGATAAAGTGCATAGGTGCAATGCAAGTGCATAGTGTGTACAAACATACCTATTATTATGGGGCACTGACAGATAGGTGGAATACCCGATAACTCTGGCTTAGACATTGATTATGAAAATGAGGAGCTTCCGATAACGCAAAGGTATACAATGATAAGAAAATGTAAAAAAAGATTTTTTAAAGATAATTGGGTAAACATTTTTCTATATTTTACTACGTATCACAAACTGGCTAGTCGAACGAATATTTTGTATGTATTCATTAATTATTAATCGGTCCAAAACATAATTGTTTAATAAGTAGAAACATCTATAAACAAGACCTCAAAAGCGATTGCAGCGCCATCTGTTCATTACAAAAAAAATGATAATCTTTCCTTTAGATAGGTCTAAGAAGAACTCTTAATCTTTCTTTACTGTTCAGTAAAGAAAGATATTCCATCCGAATCAATTCGAAAATTAAGAAGTTCAGAAGATTAAAATGTACCTCGCCGCCCGAACAGAAGCAGACCAGTTATTAGTCAGTAAGAGACACTGCCTCTTGTCCCAACCAAAGTGGGAGAAGTCATTTATACCCTAAAAAGAGCCGCTGGCAGAAGCGAGTATACGCACATTTTCCATTTCAAAACTTAGATAACAAAGTCCAAAATCGGTTGAAGAAATTATAATTAAGGTTAGCTTCACATGCTAGCGTTTGCAGCTATGACTTCAATCTAGTTTTTGCATGTCAATATGCAATAAAGCTTCCAGTATTTGTTCTAAGTAATTTTCTGGTTACAAAAACAACCAAAAATTTAGCATGCTGAATGAAGATTTAACAACCATGCAAGCATTGCAAGCATGTATAAATGCATTTAACCTTGAAAACCAGTTGCAACTGGTTATATTCTTAAAAAACGACCAAAAGCGAGTTTCTGTCATCAAAATTTTGACGTTCGAATAAATGTATGGTTCAGTTGGAATAAATTTTGACAGACAGAGTCTGGCATATCCAAAAATTAACTATTTTAACTATTTTTGAGTAATTGTAAATATCGAGTATTCTTTGTAAAGTTAACCATTTCTTTTTTTTTTGGCTGCTGGTAAAAGAGCATTGCAAAGGTGAAGTTTGTTAAGTCTTTGGTTGACTTATTTCAAATTACACACATCAGTAATACCAGGAAAGTGCAAAAATATCTTTATCCTTTAAAATCATTTTGGGTATAAATAAGGAAAAATGTCACAAAAAGTCATTAAACAAAAATACACATGTTTTTTCTCGTACAAACAATAATTAATTACAGATCATTCGTCTTAATATGGATTTAAATTCTTAATTTGAAACTGGTGCATTCCATTCCACAGTTTGAAGCATTGAGGTCGATTACCGCATTAACAGCGAAAATATTTTTTCCTGGCTGGCAAGAATACAAGAAATTGGTAAACAAAGAAAGAAAAGCAGTATCATGCATGAGAGGTGTGCACGCCGCATGTTTCGCGCCAAAACTGTAAATGTTAAAAACATTTATCTGGAGATTATTCATCATTTATCTGATTACCTGAGACCAAAATTAATTTTGGAATCGGACCATGGAACTTTTTATCGGCACTAGTGTAGAAACCATTCGATAGTGTACTTGAAAAAAATATCGTAACAAGGATTTTTTTATAGTTATGTACAGTTTTATAGTTTTCAACTCTCAAAATTTTTTATGCTCAAACCTTCTGCGTGTGAGAAGAGGCCTTTGTGTGGGCATTGGGCACTTATAGACTGCTGATGATGATGATGATGACGATGATAGTTATAAACATATACATAATTATATGTACAGTAGCGTTTTAAATTACATAAAAAATTGCGAACAAAACGCAATGTTTTTATCACGACGCTAAAGATAGGTATGAAAAGACCTTGACTCGGAGCAAGGTCGCAAGCTCAAAGCTAACAGGTCCACACAAGATGTACGAAGCATTGCATAATATATGCACTTAGATATACACCCATAAACAACTAATAAATTGTAGATAGCCGTAAAACTATAAGCAACATTATCTTAACAAATATTTTGAATAATCTTATTTTTCCTTTCGCCAACAAAATATTTACAATTACGATTTATAATGGAGAGATATTATTGATTGGAAATGAGTATAACTGTGATATGAATAAGTTGGAAACAGACATTCTTTTAAGTCATGGGTCGGCAAACGAGTAGACGTATTATCTGATGGTAAGCAATCAGCGCCTCCCATGGACACTCGTAGTACCAGAGGAGTTACTACAAGGGAGTTGCTGGCGTCTTGTGGGTTATAAAGGATTTAAGGATAGAGGATTTGAGGTTTTAGGATGGGGGGGGGGGGAAGAATTGGGCAACCGGTAATCTCGCTCAAA